TTATATATATTACATATATTATATGTCTAAAACCTATCAGCTTAAACCTACAGGCTCAAATAAGGAATTTGAGATTTGAGATTTGAGATTTGAGATTTGAGATTGAGAATGAGAATGAGAATGAGATTAAGAAATACTCTGTAAATGCCCTAGTAGCTAGCTAGTTATACAGTTTTTACTCAAATGAATATACTAGTACTTGGCTCATTACATTATACTCAAAGCCTACTTAGCGCATTCTATTCGTATTCGAATACAGCCTGAGTACCGGTCGGTATACATAGCGAGAAAGAGATATATAGAGAGAGATACGGAAAGAGAAAGAGAAAGAGAAAAGAGAGAGAGAGAGAGAGAGAAAGAGAGGGATTTAATCGTATTTACTTAATTACAGCTTATTACTACTCAGTACTCGAATATAGTAACTCACTTACTCGAGTATTAGCGAGAAATATAAATATAATAATTCACTTCTATTCCTCATTTTATTTACTTATTTATTCATCATCTCATTTATCTACCTATTCATTCACTACCTCATTTATCATCTCATCCATCACTTACTAAACAATAAATACTCGTAAAGTGAATAAAAAGACTAATAACACGTATAACTTAATACTTATATCTCGTAATATCTAGTAATATCAAATACAATCATCTCGATAATCACCTCGATATTCACTTTGAAATCTAGACGAGATACCTATATAGATAATAGATAATAGATATATTTACGCACTCATCTACCTATCTATTCACTCACTAGTATAAATAAATAAAATATTCACTATGCTTCTTATCCGAGTCTATAAGTTATGTTATATCATCTCATCTTATCTCAATATTCCCTTTCCTATTCTATCCTTTCCTTTCCTATATTTTCTCCTCTTATATCTTCTCTCATCATTTTTTTTTTCTTTTTTCTTTTTCTTTTTCATTTTCGATTTTGATTTCAATGGTTGTATTTCGTGATTCCCCTCATTCCTAAATCCTAATCCGATTCAATATAACATAGCACCGTGACACACTCTGATCCTATCCCTCCCTATCCTACCCTATCCCTTCTAATCCCCGTTACTATTCCATTCCATTCCTTCCCTCCCTCCTTCCCTTCCCTTCCCTTCCCTTCCCTTCCCTTCTAATCCGCATTACTATTCCATCCCACCCCATCCTACCCCATCTGATCCCACCTCATCCCATCCCATCCATCCAACAAACAAACCCCAACAAACCCCACCCAACAAACCAACCGACCACCATATCCATATCCATATCCATATCCAAATAAAAAGACGCCTGCCCACCCAATGATTCCAATCCATAAAAAAGGGGTATATCCTGAAGAGAAAGAAGAAGAAGAAGTTAAAGCTACCATACCATACCATCCGCAACCGATCCTGTACTCGCGTTCTTTCATCCATCCATCCATAACATCAATGCTCTCCTCAGCCTCCTATCCTATCCTATCCAATCCCTGGCTCTCTCCCCCTCTGATTCTCTTTCTAACACAATCACCTCACAGGCTCACACCCTGTGCTTTTCACTTCATTCCATTCCAGTTCATTCCATTCCATCCATCCCATTTTCATCATAATATTCATAAATTCATATTGATGAAGCATCATGCCTGAGCGTCATCAAATCATAATCGTAGTCATTTATTTTTTTATTTTTTGTTTCCGTTTCCATTTCTTTTTCCGTCTTCACTCCTCAGAATTTCACTCCTGTCATTGCATTGCATTGTATTGCGTGTCGTTTCGTGTAAGTCGTACTGTACCGTAGGGTATCTACCGTATAATTCGTTAAGATTCGTAATGAAAGAGTGTTCATATCGTAATATGATGTCGCTTGACGGCCGGCCATGGTGATGATGGGGTGTGGCGGTATATTTGTACTGTATCATGTATGTATGTGCATGGTGCAGTTGATATTCAAAAAGAAATCCTTGGATTCCGTTTCCCTTGCCTTGCAATCTCAACCGATGTCAAAGTTTCCCTTGAAGAAGACCGAATCATATCCCTTGAAGAAAACCGAATCAGTTCTCTAAGGAAACTGAGCAAATCGCTCACTCCTCGGACTTCCCACCGAGGAAGACTGTTCCACCGAAGCTCTCCTCTTATGCATCAAAGGACTACTCTGCAGCTCACTCACGACCCCCATCCATCCACTCCTCTGCGGACTTCCCGTTCCCTCATTATGCCCTATAGCATTACTAGTAATTCTGCGTAGCGGTGGCGTGCGTTTAATATTCTCGCTCAAATTACTCGGTAGCGTCCTAGTCCGAATAGGAGAACCCAGCGGTCCGAACCCCATTCCGGAAACCTTATCCGCATCTTCTTTTTCCCTCTCCTTCTCCCTCTCCTTTTCCTTCAGCACCACTTCGGTTTTCGCCGCCACCATTCCTAAATACACCACCAGAAACCTCATGCGTAATAAATCCAATTTCCGGACGCGCTCTTCGAGATCCCGTCGGGTCGTGCCCCATAATATCCTCGACCCGAGTTTTAATCTCTTGTGATCTTCTTTACTAACCATCTTATCCAACAAATCCCGCAATTCATCGCCGCATTTTTGGATTTCTCGCACCATGCCCGCGAGGCGCAGTTTATCTTCGAGTTTGGATATTCGACTAATGTCATGATCGTACGAGGCGTTTTCGGAAATGCTGGATTCGAGGACGGAGAGGTAGGTGCTGAGGTCTTGGGGTGCGGTGTGGTAGGCGGAGAGGTGGGTGAGGAGGGTTTGTACGAGGATGGGGATGGAGACGGCGGTGGCGGCGCAGGTGAGGAGGAGGGAGGTGGGGAGATGGGTTTGGAGGGGGGACATTGGGGGTAGGGATGGGATTAGTGGGCTGAGGGACATTTTGGGTGGGCTTTTGATGATGATGGGTTGGTAAGGTGAGCTGTGCACATATTCAATTTTGAGATGATTATCGCGTAGGGTCGGGTTTAGATATGAGTTGAGGAGATGAGGAGTTGGGGTTAGATAGGAAGGGAGAGGGGTTAAAGTGAAGAAGATGGTAATCAAGATGAGATGTGAGATGTGAGATGAAAGTAACCCTTAACCCTTAACCGGATAATAGGGAGGCCAAAAGAAAAGAAAAGAAATACTTGGTCCTTGGATTTCGCAATATGCCGTGCCTAGGTAGGTACTTTAGTATTTTCCCAGTACCACTTCCTACTTTGTACATGTGTAGAAAACAATAGATGTAATGGATGGTGGAAAAATGAACCCTTGTACTTGCAGAACCATCACATGCGGCCTTCAATCAATAATAAGAAAGATCCTTGTGTGTGATGTGAAGTTCTGTTGGGAGGAACTTTTTCGTACTGTAATGTGTCGGTGTATCGGTATATCGATATGAGTATATCAGACAGACAATTAGGGCTTATGATATGGAATATTTGTGATAACTATTCGGAGTGAATGAATCAGTTGAGCCATGAATTGATTCACATTTAAAAAGATCGAAGATAGATCCCAATGTACAACTTTAATCACAATACTCGTATCATAAATTCATCATGAAGGAATAAGTGATTGATATACGATAAGGATTCCGAAAAGAGAATGCGACAATCAAGAGCGGGGAGTTGTGTACTTGTTTGCTCACAGTTGGCCAATTGAGCAAGCGTGGGGTAATGTACATACAGTAAATTCATGTACAGCACAATGACCTGCAGCCCCAAAAATCCACATCTCTAAGTGCAATCCACAAAACATCCAACGACAAAACTTCTCCATCATATCATCTCACGAAACGCACCAGATCAAAGATCAACAACCTGCGTAATACCCACAAACCAATCAGCACCACCAACCCATGGCGATCCCTAACCCAGAAACCACCCCGCCTCATCTCCATCTCCATCTCCCCCACCTCTTCACATACCCCTCCTCCACCTCCCCCACGCTCATTACCCAGGGTGCCGAAGCCTTACTCTACAAATCCACATATTTAGTACCTTCATTCCCGTGCGCGCTAAAATGGCGACCGTCTAAACCATATCGGCATCCGATTCTCGATGCGCGACTCACGAAGGCGAGGATTTTGGCTGAGGCGAGAGTTTTGGTGAAGTGTAGGAGGGAGAGCGTGGTTGTGCCGGCGGTGTATGCGGTAGATGAGGGGAGGGGCTGTTTGATGATGGAGTGGATTGAGGGGGAGGTGGTGAGGATTAGGTTGAATGAGTGGTTGGGGAGGAGGAAGGAGAGGGAGAGGGAGATGGGGGTGGGGGGGAATGCACTGGTTACTGGGGAGGAGGAGGGATGTGAGGGGGCGGTGGAACTTATGAGGATGATTGGGCAGGCGGTGGGGAGGATGCATGGGGTAGGGGTTGTGCATGGAGATTTGACGACGAGTAATTTGATGTTGCGGCCGATACAATTGAATGGTGAGAAGGGAATGGAAAATGGCAGGGAGTTAGAGGGTGAAATTGTTATAATTGATTTTGGGTTGGCGAGCCAGAGTACAGCGGATGAGGATCGAGCCGTCGATTTATACGTGTTGGAGAGGGCATTTGGCAGTACACATCCAAGAGCGGAGGGTCTGTTTAAGGAGGTGCTGGATGCATATGGAACAAGCTATAAAGGAGCACAAGTGGTTCTGAAGAAGTTGGAGGAGGTGAGGATGAGGGGTAGAAAAAAGAGTATGTTAGGTTGAATAATTATCTATCTACTTTTTATCTTATACAATCTCCAATAAATGGATTAAACATTCTAGATGTCCATCTGCCTGTCTTCGACATCCACCAGGGCTATCCAAACACTACAAATAGCCAATAATCTTGCCGTGTCAAATCATCTTCTATACTCAATACGCTGTTAAAGCATGTATTACCACCGGTATCTTCGAGACGCCATTGCGCCAAAACTCAAAACCGCCAAATGCACCTTTCATGCCTACTCTCTCAATTCTGCCGAAGCGAAATATCCCTTATTTTCTATCACGCCACGATCCCGGACAATTGCGGTATACTTGACCACCCATTCCGGGTTCAAATCACCTTTCATACCATGGATTCCCCGCTTGGTTTCAGACAACACACCGGCGCCTCTTATACCTTGTCCCAATAGCTCGCGCAATGTGCCACTGGGCAATATATTGGTGCAATCATTGTGAGTCAAAAGTTCGATGTTCTCTTGTTTGGCGATCTTGAGCAAAGGCTGTGGAACTCTGCAGCAATCTTTGACATTTATCTGGTCGACTTGCGGTCGCACTCTGACGTTCCTCAAGAATTTGGCAAGTTTCGCGCTGCCAAATTCAGCCAGTCCCAACCTTTTTACAATGCCTTGCTCATATAATTCCTCCAATATAGTCCAGGTTCCAAGTTCTTCGGCTTCATTTCCTTGTTCCGAGTTCTTCTTGTCTGCTTCCCATTCACAGTCGCCGTCAAAGGACATTCCGGGGAATGAAACGATTAGGAGATCAATTGACTTGACGCCCAACTCTTTCATTACCAAATTTAGAGCATCTTTTGTGTACTTTGACCTAGACTTCACGTCCGCTGTGGGCAGATAGAATAGTTTAACAGTAATTTCGTAATTTTCGGGTTCTTCTGCGAGCCCAGATAAAGACCAGTCTATTGTCGGAATAAAAAATTCGTTGTCTTGTCTAGTTGTCCAAATAGAAACTGGCGGTCGACTCGAAGAGCCATTCTTTTCATCATATTCCTCGTGTCCATTGACTCCATTTGCATATGAGGGAGTAGGTGAATAGTCTTCTTGCGCAGCGAGGAAATTACTCCGAAGGGAGTTTATAAGTTCGAGATTTGATCGGTCTGCGCCGGGTTTCCTAATGATGGAAGGACCTCCGATCATAATATTTCTAAGAAGCTCATGTCAGTCAATTGCTTTTTAAGAAATGAATTGAACAAAAACATACGAGGTAGAAAGTATCAATCTCGTCATATTTGATGTTGATATTTATGTTGATATTGATAACGTTAATTTGTGAAAGTGCGATTGTTCGGGATAATTGAGATGGACACAGGTATGATATAAAATACAATCTAATCACACGGAATATAAAGTATGAAGAAGGAATCTAAAGGTTATATAGGTAAGTTAATGAAGTGAATAGGTCCGAGAAAAGTGTACAAGATCACAAAGGATAAAAAGGAAAATTATATACTCGAGTATGATGGGCTGTCACAGCAATCACTAATCTAATAGTTATCTGCCCCTCCATTCATCATTCTTTGTAAGCTGGGGCTTTAATCGCGGAGATTCCCCGAAATTCATTGGACCCCTGCAAACAAGGCTCCCTTTCCCTAGACACGACACCTTCAAGGCTGAAGTATCATTCTTCTCAAAAGATACCATCATCATGGCGATTCAGTATGCACATACTCCAGAGGATTGAATGAGGATATTGGCATCAAGCTAATACTTAACAGCTATCTGATCTTGCTGTCGCGGCAGGGTAAAGTTGTATGTACTTCTCCTTTCTCTTTATTGCTCAATCATGAATGAGACTCAGCTCGAACAATACTCTAACTTTATAAAGAGACTTGCAAAATGGTTCACAACATTATCGCCAAGGGAGAAGGCCAAGATCATTAAAGATGTCTCCCAACTTGTGCTGGCACGAAGAACGAGGATGTGCAATTTCTTGGAGTACAAAGGTTAGAATACTTCAGCAGAGCAATATCTAGAACTCCAAACTGAATATGTTCATGGCAGATTCGAAAATAGTTTATCGTCGATACGCCTCCCTCTTCTTTATCGCTGGTTGTGCTTCGAAGGATAATGAACTCATTACTCTGGAGATTGTTCACCGCTATGTTGAGCAGATGGACAAATACTATGGAAACGTCTGCGAGCTGGTAAATTGTACTCAGCAAGGTTCAATCTGGCATTATTTACTCACAGTGAACTCAGGACATCATTTTTAACTTTCAAAAGGCATACTTCATACTGGATGAGCTATTGCTAGCTGGCGAAATGCAGGAGAGTAGTAAGAAGAATGTGCTCAGGGTTATATCAGCACAAGACTCAATAGAGGATACAGAGGTGAGTGGTGAACATCAATTCGGGTTGCAGCGTTCATTCTAGATGTTCTACCATATTGCAATCTCCGGAGGATATCATTCAACCTCGAGTTTCTTTCATGCTGATCGAACTTCCACAACTCCAGGTCGACCAAGAGATTACCAAGCTTATGTGAATCGGTGCTTTTATACATGTATTACAGAGATATATGGGTGGATGGAGTCTGGCGCGAGAATATTATATACTACTTTCGAGCAATTTCGGGCGCTGTGCATGATTTTTTGTGATGGGTTTGTTTGCTAACTAGGTGCTGAATCATTATCTAGGCTGAAGAAGAGGTGATCAGTGGACTTAGAGAGATCGGTCTCGCTTGATCTCCTTTTACAATGATCGTCACAAATCTCGGGGTTCAGGCAATGAACGGTATTGGCGTTCTCACATGCGGTATTTCAATGAATGGCGAGATACCCAAAAGGAACTACAGAGTTGAATAACGGTTAAGAAGCGAAATCTGAGGATGAAATACGGATGGATGGTTTGGGTTTGGAATTGAATGTGAAAAGTTAATGGATGTTCTCTACATAAGATTGACCCCTCCCGAATACTTACCGCAGTGATTCTTATTTGGCGTTATTTCCCTTACAACCTAAACAATTTTTTTTGTCTACCACTGCCTTGGCTCCAGACTCGGGTATTATACTAGATACTTGATACTGTAATTACCAAGTCACTCATAAATATCTGAATAGCCATTCACATCTCCCAAGCTGACCATACCAACATTACAAAGTCCGCATTCGGAGGAATGCTTGAGATGTACCCTTGATTACGTGATATTCATACAAACGTGCCTCATTCTTGAATTTAGATTCGAGCAATTAGAAATGAAGGCGGTCCAAGCCATGAATCACGCGTGGTATTTCAAACTTTGGAAATCTATAACAAACTCTGGGAGTTGGAGTTTATATCTATCTACTTCAAGTATTCTGTTCTCTAATCAGCACGAGAAACATTTATTGGTTAATAAGATACCGGTACCTTATATTATTGATCCCCCTATAAATATAACCCTTAACCTTAATGCCAGATAAAACTTGATGATCCACATACGAGAGCGTTGATATCCATAACGCTAGTATATATTAAGACTAGTTCGTCGCAATAACCGACCGCAATCAAGGTTTATCGTATCTCCAGATTCTCCACCTCATCATCCGTTTACCCCATCCATTCCTCATCTTCTTCTACAATACTACAACACCACGCTACGCCATTCAACTCAACTCAACATTATCAAATCATTAAATCAAAAATGTCCCCTCTTACCTGCTAGACATCAAGTCTAGCTTGATATCAACTTGATATAACCTCCGTAGCCAGCGCAGGAAGTATCAATCTTGCTTTCTCAGCCAACGCAGGTGCCACAAACACACCGACTACGGAACAAAGAGAGCCACGTTTGGGCCCCATACATACTTCAACATCAACGACGCCATCACATCACGATAACATTTTACTTCATATACCTTCAATACATAATTACAAAACATACATGAGGTCTTAAGTACCTGGTTTTCAGTTCAACGAGTCTGAAGAGTCACCCGAAAGGTTGATTATCTCCACAGAATACTCGGGCTCCGTAGCCACATACTTCTTACTTTCTCCAAGAGCGCACGTCTCGTCAACTCGCTTTTCATCAATTACTATTTACCGCTATCTACAATAAGAACATTCTGATATCTACAAAATGAAGTTCCTTCCTTTGCGCGACTTCGATAATGTCACCAGTGCGTTGAACTTCAACACACCTGACTGCCACGTCATTGGCGGTTGTGATCTTTACACAACCAAAGCTGCTGGCTCAGATAAGAAACTCTATCGCAATATTGAGAACTCACTAGAGTCTCAATATGAATCTCTTCTCAAATTATCAGCTTCTGTATCACCTCCTCTTGATGCCACCGAACCTGGCGTAAACCTCTCACGTTCGAGCCCCTTTGGGCCCTTGAGCCAGGTATCGAGCCGTAGGACTTTCGCATATCTTATTGCAACACTTAACGCAAGTCATCCTGACTACGATTTCTCGCACACTCTCCGACCTGCGGATTTCCATAAAGAACGAAGCTTGAAGACGGTTATCAATACTATCGATTCTACACTCTATAATCTTAGACCGAGCTCCGGTATGTCGCTTCATGTCCCTTCGCAGACATCATATAAGACAGCCTCATCTGCTGGAGCCACAAGTCAGGCTTGGGGTCCTCAGATGTGGGCTTTGGTTGATAAGGAGATGACCCTCAAAGACTGTACGGTCTATTCTTGGGCCCCTCCCGATGAACCATTCGATGGTGAGTTGGGATCTATCTGGAGCCTCAACTACTTCTTTTTCAACAAAGAAAGAAAAAGAGTTGCGTATCTCTACGTTCGGGCCGTTCCAGTCATGAGCCATAGTCCGAGTCAAGCTCAAGGCATGATACAACGAGAAGCCGACTACAATGAAGATGGTGCAAATAAACGCGCTAGATACTGGCTAGGTGATCGTGCTGACGATGTCACCAATGATCAAGATGGAATTGATGACACTGATGTTAACATGTGGAGTGAGGATGATCATGTAGACCCAGAAGACCAATACTGCGATGGCTATGACGATGAAGCCGATGATGAATTCGACGACCAGAATTACAAAGCACCCATACGTGGTGTTAGTGAAGATATTGCTGCTTCGATGGATATTGATTCTTAAACAACGTCTCCTTTCCCACCCTTTCTGCATTTTTCCTGTTTAGCAAGCGCACTGGCTGGCGTACCTTGGGAGGTCGATGGCAACGACTTTTCTTTCAATTTTTTCTTTTCATTCCTTTCGTGAAAATTATCTTTGCTGCTTGTTTTTCTCTGCTTCCAGTCTGTACCTCTGGATTTTTGGTAGGCGCTCTGTAGGGACTATGGGATGGACGATGTGATGATCTGTTTGGAATGGCGTTTGGCTACGGTTCGGTCCGGTGAGAGCGTACTGGGTTGGCTGGCGTTGTACCTGTAGTTACCCAACTTTCTTTGCTAATTGGCTTATGGAATGGATATCGGTGGCCCGGTGGATGCATGATATTTGGACGGATATTCTGCGGGCGTATGCGTAGGCATGATATGGTTAATAATTTTCAACAACATGATACCATAAACACTGGAACAATATGAACACAATTATTCACAGATGGACCTCGGAATGCGGGGCTTCTCCAGTGTCGATTTGGAATATACCATATACCATACTTCTCCGAGCTGTGTTTTCATTGCATACCTTCTGCTAGTGGTACTACTAAGACAACACAAGCGCAACATATTTAAAAGTAAACTAAAGTAAAGTAAAATTTTCCAAATTTGAGAAAAGGTCTTTGAGGTTCTGTTTTCTTAGAGTAGATAGGGTACTATATATATATATATATATATATACTCGAGTACATTCTCCTATCATATTGTATCCTCGTGTTATATAGATACATATAGATACATAGATAGATAGATATATATATACACATATGTTTTCTTTAGATTCATCTTCTTTACTCAGTAGTTTGAGATACACATGTCCACACCTCCCAATTTCCTAAACACCAAAAGCAGGAAAAACACAAAAACCAACCCACGAGACCGACCACACACGATAGCGCAAAACATTCTCGCGGTAGGTACGGATCTCTTAGCCCGAGACGCCTATCCCAATGGTGGCGCAGCGGCACTTCCATTGTTTCGAATAATCTTGATATGGATGTGAAAAAGGTTTCACAAGGTTAAATCTAACCTTGAAGTTTGATAGTTCGATAGTTCGATGTGATGGATGAGCGTGACATACGCTGTGAAAATGGGGTATCATTCGCGGAAAGGGAAAGGGAAAGGGAAATGGAAATGGAAACAAGATCAAGATCATGGTGAAATAAATGCAAGAAAGGAAAGGAATGGAAATCAAAATATAAATGAGAATGAGAATGAGGAAGAGAAAGATAAGCTGACTCTAGTGGTGAGGGCAGGAGGGAGATGGAGGGTGTGGTGAGATAGTGGTGAACTGGTGGCGGAGGTAGTGAAGGGGTAGTGAAGGGGTATAGCGAGTGAGGTGGCGATGGAAGGTTGAGCTGCCGATGGAGGAGAAAGTGATCTAGCATGGTCTGAGCTGTTGAAGGTGCCAACACCCTATCCGATAAAAGGGTCATACCATGCTAGTAGATCATAGCGAAGAAATCACTTTCTTCCCCACATCTTTCGAAATCCGCGTTGTTGCTGCTCTCGCTTCGCAGCACCATCCTGGAATTCCTCGCTGGTTGAGGAGCTCCCACTGCTTTGAATCTTCGTACTGCGCGGATTGCCAAAGATTTTTAGAAGAACGGTCATGACTATACTGCTTAGGATACTCAAACAGAGAATACCAATCATGACGAGATTGCTTTTGCGGTAACGATGAGGTCCTGCTTTGGCATCTTCAGGCCATCCGGTATACAGTGCATATGTAGTTGTTATGCTGCCGAGATTACCAAGACCGGATACAAGAGCGGAAGCAGCAGCAACACCCACCTCTCCGTGACGGTGTTGGAAAATTTCATTGGTCCATGTCATGCAAATGGGGACGGTTGGGCCAAGGCCATATCCAACCATGAGGAGACCACCATAGCGTGCCCAAGGTTGAGAGACAGGGGCAAAGGTGGTGAGGAGGAGACCGGCGATCTGGATGAGAACTGCAGCGGAAAAGAAAAAGGCTCGATACTTGTGGAAACGATCAGAGATTGGAGTTACCATGAGAATGGCAATCAGATCCATCTGCTATTTGTCAGCTTCTGCTCCCATATCATAATTTCAGGGTACTTACGATCCAGATAGGTGCGGTGAGTAAGCTGAGAGTCACACCCGAGAAAGAGGAGTCGATACCTGAGATGATGACAGTAGCGTAGAGTTGTGTCCCGATACCAACACCAACAACGCCGAAATACATCAAAGTAAGAGGCCAAAGACGCCAGTCAATCAAAACATAAGCAAGATCTTTCCAGCTCCATGGTCTTGGATGATAAACTCTTCTCAAATCCTGATAATGAATCTCGGCATTTTCGCCAGTCAAAACTGGCGAAGTAGCAGGAAGCCATTTCGCAAGCCCCGAAGGAACTCGCTCTGCTCCGGGAGGAAGTGGGCGATCTGGTAACCACCAAAGAAGTCCAATACCAAGAACGATAGCACAAAGTCCATACAACAAGAACATCCATTGAAATCCAGCGAGCCCTCGCGTCCCATCCATCTTCTGGAATCCAGCCGAGACAAGACCTACAACAGCCGCAGAAAGTTGAGATGCTGTAAAGTACATGCCAATACGTTTGCCAGTTCGTGAGGGTGGATAGAACAAAGTAAGATAATACGCCATCCCTGGCCACATTCCCGCAGTCACTACACCGAGAAGAAAACGAAGGAGCCTAAATCTCATCAGCAAAAGAAATCAGAATCTTCATAAGCAATCAACCCACATCAAACTCCAAGCCGCCCGCACTGCCGCAAAACAAGCTCCGATAATGCCTACCGCGAGCACGATTCGGCTCATCCAAACTCGGGGACTCAATTTCATCATAACCAAGTTCGAAGGTAAATCGAAAACGACATAGGCAACATAGAATAAGGCTAAAGCCGTGGACGTTTGCTTAGCCGTCAAGTTTAAAACTTGGGAGAGATCATGGCCAGATGATGCATTCATAGTTTGAGCGAGACCAACATTGGATCGAATGGCGGAACAGAGGAAATACAAGACCCAGAAAGCTGGAAATATTTGTTAATTACTGTTTCTTGTAGCAAGATATATTATGAATTACCTGGAATAATGCGTCGGTCGATTTTCCTGTGATATGATGTAAGTATATGTATATCATACAAAATTGTCATGATGGGAAGAAGTAAAGTTGATTATTACCTGTAAACCTTCTCAATCCTCTCAATATCAACTTCCTCATCACCATTCGCTGTCCCAGACTCATCGGCATAAAGATCATTTACACTCAATTTTGTCCCATCAAGCTGCTGCCCCTCATGTGCAGCTATAGTGGGGTCGTGGAAACCAAGATGTTGATCCCCTGCTTGTGCCATGATATCTGTGAGGCAATGGGAGTGAGTGCTGGCAGATCTTATGGTCCTCCAGAGATATTGTTGCAACTGGGATCTATCGATTCCTCAATTGCTGTTTTGGTAAAAGGATTGAGTGAAGAGGAGAAGAGGGGAAAGGAGAGGAAAAGAGAAGAGAAGGAAATAAATATTTTGATTTTGATGTTGTGGTGCAAGCTTCCCGTGGTGGGGTTCAAAATTTCCCTCATCGGGGGCTCTGGACCCGGAACTAATGCGTATCCTGGTTAGCTCGATATTGAGTCATTACCGTTGACCACCAGGACCCAATTTTCTATGAAGAAGCTGTCTTGGTATCTTGGTATGTTGGGAAAAGAAGATGTTGATGAGACATGGAGTTTCTTAGGATTCAAGTCAGAGCGAGTCTTTTTCAGAGTAGCATTAAACTCATAAGCATTTATATGTTCATTAGCAACATCTACAGATCTCTCTATTATTACATGTCCAGCCATTACTACACACACTCGGGTCTATCTACACATCCACATCTACCTCTATGTCTCAAAATCCCATTTGTGAATCCCTCAGAAAGCATGTACGCCTGCTTTGAACTTACTCCCGTGCATAAATAACCCTCACGATTACCACTAAGCCCAAACCAGCTTCTTCACCTGGTGACCCAGCATATCGAATAGTCCCGTGCTCTTCTTGGCCTCAGCCAAACTAATGATATTTCCCTCCTCTATAATGGTCTTTCTATCTTCTCCAACCTCTCTTATATTTCCAATCTCAACCATTCTTTCAATTTCTCCACAAACGTTCTTCACTTGCTCGGCCTCGCTTACTCCTTCATCTGATATCGCAGATCTGGAGGGTAGAGCTTTGAATGCGAGTACCTTAATGGCGTCCTTGGGTTCCGCTGCAGATTGATTCTGCAGGCCCGAGATCAGGTTCGCAAAGCCGGCGGCAATTGGAGCAACAACAGAGTTAGTGGTAGACGTAGACGTAGACGTAGGAGTAGGTGTTTTGTCTTCGGCAAGAGTTATTTTCGAAGAGGGAAATTCAGTAGCCATAGATCTCGTGTTCACACGAATAATATCATTTGAACCCGCTTTATACGTGACTACAAATCCCATATTCCTCTTCTCGTCTGCCTGAGCCTGTGACAATGTACTCGTGATGTACGTTCCAGATTTAATCCCGACCACTTGATTTAGACCCACTCTGACGAAAGATGATACTTTCTCAATGTTCCAATCGAAATGACACATGTACAATGCCGCATCTGTTAACAAAAGTACAGATTCTTCGAAGGGACTGGACTTGATCGTGTTTGGTACTTGGGGAGTGAGAAATGTCCACCCTCCAATAAATTCTTCATCGTCATCTGCAACAACGAGCTTTTGAGATACATCGATAGCTTGTTGCCTCATCTTTTGCATTGAGACGCCAGGATCACCGCTCATCATATTGGCTTCGAAGTCCTCGAAAACTAGATAGCTTACATTTCCAAGCAGGAAATCAATGGCCGCCTGACTGAAATAGTCATTGACAATACTAAGAATAAGTTAGCATATCGGGCTTCAGGTCCAGGAAGGTTGACTCACCCGCTGTAAAATCTGGAGATAGAAAGTCCCATGTCTGTCAAAGCACCTTTATAATCCCGCTTTCTGGTACGAGTAAAGTCTCCCTTCAGAGCTGCCGTTGAAGCGTATTGCTTAGAGATGGCATCGCCATTATCAGCCCACAAAGTGTTGAACCATTGTTGAGTTTGATCGACTTGTAAACTGATATCTATTCCCTCATTCTTTAATTGCGTTTCAAGTGCTCGTTTAGCCACTGCACTTTGGACAACGTTTGTTCGGTCTAGGCAATCCATACAGTTGGTTCTCAAAACACCATTCTGTTTCGATACAAGCTTCCCATCGACCTCTACGGTATCCGAGAACGAGTCTAGCTTTTTGCCTAATATTTCCATAAGAAGGTTGACATTTTCGAATTTCATGCCTTTGCATATAGCGTGAAAATCGAACCATTCAAATCCAATAGACTTTTTATTCTCATTAGCTCGGGACACATTGAGAAGAGTCATCAGCTTCTCGAAATCTCCACCAACTATCGCCTCCGCTCCATGTTTCTCCACTAGGGAAGCTACCTGTATAGCTCCGTAGCGATCAGTTATATTATCGAAATGATTCTTGAAAGCTTCATAATTCGTTTCTGGAGAATGATGAACTTGAGGTACGGGTTTGAACGAGTAAGGCGATTGAGAGAAGAAGATAGGAATACTGCCACGTATCTGGACGAAGGAATGTATCTTACTTGAGGGAGCCCAAGTAGAATCTGATAAAATCTGCTCTGTCTCCACGCCATTGGCGGTATTGCCATCTTCGTCCACACCGCGACGCAAATACCTAAGGCCAGCACGCTTAACTGATCTTCTAGACATTAATGTCAGTAGATATGTTTTATCCGTACTAGCCTGCGCTATAGAGATTTGCTCGTCTGAACTGTTTGTTGTAATCTCATTCAGTTCCATAGAAGTCTTCCCAACACCATCTAAACCTACAACGGGTTTTGGTGGGTTGCTATCCATTACAAATGCCCGTTGCCCAACAAAGCCCTGCATCAGAGGTAAGGCGAGTTGAGCTTGACCGGCACCGATAAATGGTAGCAATAGGTGTCGATTCCAGAAGAATAGTGGATCGACCTCCTTATACAATGGTAATTCAGAATTTGTGTTCCTTTGATTGGCCAAACTCCTTGTGATATCATGATCGTAAGAAAAATAGTAACTCCGAGAGGACCCAAACAAGATCTGTGATGTTCGTAGTAATTTTGGCAGCATGCTTTCAGCAATGTCTCTGGTCTTGCTCGACAGCCCAGGATCAGATTCCCCTTCTACAACACTCGAAGTCGTAGCTGCTACGTCGGTGGGCTTAATATCTGGCTCTACACGAGAATCTGGTTCAGAAACACTCATCCCAAGATTTTTCTTCTGGTCCACGGCCCACCCTTTCTTCGAGAACCATTTTTGGGCGAATCTTCCATATCCACCTTTCTTCGAAATTACATCCTCAGCCACGCTCGTCCTTCTATGATGTGTGTTGGCATTTGTTGGGTTTACTTCGTCCTCCACTTCGTCACTAACATTGGCGGAGAATTCCTCATCCTCGCTATCACTCTCATCCAAGCCGTGTCCCTCAATATTACTCTTCAACAACCCCGCTTTCGTCCTATCAATCGAACTCTCTGCTTCCGCTTTAGAAGCTAAAGGCGTCAAAGCTACTTCAGTAATAACATATATTGGCTTTCCTTGAATTTGTGCGACCTGTTCTCGTTTCGTAATCGATATTAAGAAAGAGCTTTTGGAAACCGTCAAGAGACCTAGAGAACATCAGATATGTAGACAGCTCTCCAATGTACGGCAAATCCATACCGACAATTCCATATGCCTCGAAACCTTTGGCAGACCCATCCACATCCTGTGCATCATTCAATATTGGTCCGATATGCCTATCTTTATATGTTAGCTTCGAGCTGGGTGCGGGCCGTTGACCCTTTTGCGCCACAGGTTGTAAAATCAGCCCGTCGATGGCGGCAAAGATAAGAAGCTTGCGAACGAGACCAGGCATACTGGCAGCGTTTATATAATTATCATCGAGATTAGGTGGGAAAGGATGTGGGTATTGGATGGTGGAATTAACTTTCAGGATGAAGGATCGATTAGATGTTTTAGCTCTCACAAGATCAACACCACCACCGGATGGGATGGTGCGTCATATGGGCAGTTCATTAATTTGCTCTTTCAGAAGATTTTAATCTCTTTAATAGAATTCAAATAGATTGAATGTATTGAATGTGTTGAATGTACCTATTAAATGTATTGATCTTTTGGATGATTTGAGTCTCAAATATATTCAAATAAATTCTTTCCAGGTACTCGATTAGTTGTTATTCATCACTGCGGTACGAAGATTCAGAATGTCTTGATGGTCTTAAATCTTTCCCATTACAGAGTCCCGAGGTTATTTTCAAAGGAATAGGTACTGAAACACGCACGTAAAGGTTGTACTCGATTATATATACCTGTGGTTCTTGTGATATGTGATAAGAGCGGAAACTTCCATGTCAAGAAGCTCACCGGGGGACTATTTCCTTATCATGCCGGTTCACCTGGGTGACGGAGAATTGGGAAAGGCCCACACAACATGTTTTATTACCTTCCTTACCTTGCTCTGTCTACCCTATTGATCAAAAGGCCAAACGGCTTCTTTCCAATTCTGTGTCCAGTGAATTAATTTGTTATTATTACTTTAAATTATATAAATCAGACAGTTTTGTTTTGAATTGTAAAAAAGTCGGGTTTCCAGATCTGACGCTAGTCTGAAATAAATCTGTCAAGCGAAGAGAATCTCGCACTGCAAAAGATTTCTTCAACTTCAACCCCACAAACTGGTCGATAACGTGAAAGTTCTAACCAACTTCCTATCCGACCAAAAACACCTGAATATCATCTGTCATCATGGGTAAAAACGGAAAATGGGGCAAAGATTATGGATCTGTACTTCAGAGAGACACTACAGGGCGACCTGGATGGAAAGGTCCGGCATTCACGAAAAAACCCGAAGTAAAACCACAGAAGGCAGACGAGGATAAAGATTTGGTTAAAGAATCTCTTATTCCTGTGAAATTACAACAACTCCTATTGAATATATTCAGAGATACATTCACAGGTGTCATCGAGTCTGAGGACTTTCGTCAGCTGTTGCAGGATGTCAAGGGAGCTTTATACGATAGGGACTTTAACCGTGCATTTGGAAATGAAGAATATCTCGAAATCTATTCTGCAAGATGGTCACCTAGCAGGTCATTGTGTTATGCTTCGATTCTTTTGGATCTTCAAGAACATCTTGGGAAGATATTGCCCCGTGATAAGAACGCTCAGGTGAAGGTCGACTCTGGGGTAGTGACTGACGTTCCATCTACGACGTCTTCTAGGTCAAAACTACGAGTCGTATCAATTGGTGGAGGTGCAGCTGAGATAGTCGCATTTGGAGGCTTCTTAAAGCACAATGTCGAACCTCCGGTCACTGGAACGACCTCCCAGAGCGCTGATGAAGCGATAGCTTCTCTCACCTTATCCGACATGAAGCATGATATCGAATTGCTACTCGTTGATACAGCACCCTGGGGAAATGTTGTTGACAAACTCCAGACTTGTCTCATGACTCCTCCGCCAATGTCTAAGTATGCGAGCGCATCTGCTAGGGAAGCGAATTCGTCTCTTGTCAAACCTGAGGATATCACTTCAACATTTCTGAAACATGATGTGTTAGCAATGAGTCAAAGCGAGCTCGGTGATCTGGTCGGCAAGAAGCCAGTTCTTGTTACTTTATTCTTTACGTTGAATGAACTATATACAGCATCGATCACCAAGACAACCAGTTTCTTACTAAAAATGACGTCGATTCTTCCTGCTGGATCGCTCCTCTTAGTTGTGGATAGCCCAGGGTCATATTCAGAAACCAAAGTCGGGACAGAAGAGAAGAAATATCCGATGAAGTTTCTACTTGACCACACTCTAATTGAGACAGAAAAGTCTAGGGGGAAAGAGAGCAACCTTGATTGGGTGAAAGTCCACTCCGAGGAATCTGAATGGTTCAGACTGAGTGAAGCTCTCCGATATCCAATTCCACTGGAAAACATGCGATACCAGGTACACCTTTACCGTCGCTCTTAAACGGGACGTTTCGATAGGAGCAATCACAATAGAAAAATGGATTTTGAGTGTAATAATCATAATTCATTATTCAAAGAGTTATCTTGAAGGTAATCATAAAATGCCAGACCTGACCCGTTGGTTAATACCGACTAAACATCAAAGGTACCAATGCGGTACTGCTCTCATGACCACAAAAACCTCTGGACTTCTTTGGTGACGAGCATGAAGCCACCAATTGCAAAGGCTTGGGCCAGGCTGTCAATACCCGTTCTTTTTTATCTCGAGTCTTGCAGAACTCTTTGCTCAACTGCTTCAAAACGGCTTCTCTTGCCTTCTTCAAAGCCGTCATCCTCTTATCCGGATCATTAATCAGTTCCTGTTGAGCATCCTCCTTCTTAAGATTGCGCTGAACGCCTTGTATATTGGGATTGAAAGTCATTGGATGTAAGAGCTCAACGGAAGGCGCAGCTATCGGTATTGGAGCTGAAATCTTTGGCTTTATCTCTTTACCAGAACCATTGTCCTCACCCTCCTTTTCTTTCTCCTCATGCTTATGCTTGCGTCTTCGTCGACGATGATGCGACCTCTTTTTTCTAAGCTTCGTACCAGTCATCGACGACTCCTTCATACCAGCCAACATCGCACCAGCTAAACTATCAATAACCTCCGGCGCCTCCTCAATGTCATACAAGTCACTTCTAGTCTGATATTGCAAACTTTCAACATCAGACCCACTCGGCTGAGACAACCACTCTTCACTTCCTCGACTATTCCCCGACGTCAAAGGTGCCAATGCCCGTTCCCAAATCCCACCATCAATCAAAGACGTATTCTCAAAATCGAATTCTTTCACCGTGTGTCGATGCTCAAAGACAAATTCCGCGACTTGCTGTTCTGACATCGTGGTATTTCTCACTTGCAGATACCGCAATCTGGGAAATACCATCGGAGGCCTTGGAGGCGCAGCTGGTAATGGCGACATCGGGGACGTCACTTCTCCAAATAACTTCACTGTCTCTTTTAGAGGTGAAAATAGCGGATCACTGAATAAAAAGAATGGACAAGGACCTTTTCGTCCATGCCACCCAAAACTCACTTTCTCCAATTTCGGCGCAAAATTTCGAATATAATCATCCAAAATCTTTAGATGATCACGCCCAGGCAACAAACTCTGAAAGTCCCACGAATCCATCGTGATATTGAGTTTTCGTACTTGTCTCCATCGTCGTCCCGCAGACGGAGTACATCCGAATCCAGGCATATGGCGCAAATATTGAAGTCCAGATGGATGGATATGTATAGACAATTTTTCCAACTTCAATATCGGTGCTCGCTCAATGGCGATCCGCAAGCTAATAAGTGCATAATCAACAATATCTCTCCTATACCTCTGCGCTGGATCCTGATTTGGACATGAAATCGTCAGATGACGTAGATGGGGTAGATGAGATAGCGCTTTAATGAATGCGGGAATATTCGTCGCAGCGTGAAAGAGTGGGGGATATTGTTGCGTTAATATCTCGCCCAGCTCGGGACATCCATACTTTGGACGTCGATTGCTGGGTCTCTTGTTGTGGGAAGCCATACTTGTATGAGGCGTATACAAAAAGTTTATCTCTTGACCAGTAACGGGGTTTAAAAGAGGAGGCAGAAATGTAGCGTTGGAGTGTGGCATGTGGAATATGAGGTGTTGAATGTGTTTTCCGATCCGAGAGAGAGCTTCCAGGCGAGAAGGACGTGTGAGTGAGGTGGGAGTGAAGGTTATGCGGGTTCGGAGGAAGATTTCGCTGGTTATTAGGGTGCATATTTCGGTGGATACGAGACGGAGTGAACATTGGGAGGAGGTGTCTAGGTGGGTGAGTATGTTGGTGAGGATGCTGTGGGATCGCCAGAGGCGGGTCTTGGTTGGTGTTGTGGTGGCCATAACTTGCGCATATCTTTAGGGAAGGGGATTGGAGGGGATAGGAGGTCAAGTCCTGCTGATGCCGATAGATATGGTCGGTGTTATGTAAGTGATAAGGCGGGTATAGATGAGAATTTTGGATTTAAATAGTTCAATGAAGATGGAAAAGTCGAACTGAATACAAATTTCGAACGAATGAACAATCCCGGTACTCCAATCCAATAATGTAATTCTTCTCAACCTCGATCTGAATTGTAATTATCCTCGTCATCGACAACAATACTCATTCGAGTTTGCAAATCCGCAAACTTGTACAACCTCAAAATTCAGAAACTAACAGCAATTCAAATGAAACGAAAAAATTACGAAACGAACCTCAGTCATCTATCTATAATATAATCAATCCCTCTTCCTCTCCCCTCTCCCCTCTTCCCCAAAATCCCTCATGCACAATGCACCCCGAACCACTAACCATTAACCATTAACCACCAACCACTAATCTTTGACTCACACTTTGATTTTGAAGCATGTATGAATGAATGAATGAATGGACCAATTGATTCTTTGCTGATGCTGTACTGTACTGCACTACGAGTAATACATGATAGAGTACAGGATGTACCGGTAGTACTAAACGCGAAAATAGTGCGAAATTAGCACGAAATTAGTACGCGAGCTGACGCGAGTGCACGCGATAGCCGCGTTGAGTGGATGGATATGGATGGAGGGATGGAGGGATGCAGTGGGGGGTAGGGGTTGTAACTTGTTTATGCTGTGGTTTTGTATGAGTACTCTGGGATGGGATGGGGACGGGATAAGATTAGCTGGCTATACGAGTAGAATAGACTAGGTTTCTCCATGTCGTGTTGTGCTGTATTGTGTTGTTTCATAAATCTTGATTCAATGATGATTATTCGATAATAATGATTCGATGACGATGATAATAGAAGAAAAGTACCGGCTTCAATACTATAAGCACCGAGTTGAAACTTCTTTCTGCATTAGTGTGGCGCCGGCGGATTAAGATTAAGATGATGTTAACGAATAGGAAGAAGGCTTTCTTTTTGGTACTTGTACAGTATCGCTACTATATGCACTTTTTTACTGTATATGTTATGCATCTTCCCTTCCCTTCTCTTCTTTTCCCTAGTTAGAACTACATGAATTATATGAACAACAACACACATTATATTATATAATAATAAGCGAAAGAAACAAAACGCGCTTGTTTGTTTGTTACTCATTCATTGGTTGATTGTTTTCCCTCCCTCTCTCCCTCCATCCATCCCTCCCTCTCTTCATCCCTCCTCAACAGTACCCATATCTATACCCATACCCATTCAAACCCATTCAGCACTTCAAATACCCAAATACACATCCAGAGTTCTATAACTACCTACCTAGTTTCGATTTCTTTTCGGAATCAAGAAATATATATGTATATGCAGATATGTACAGATATACAAATATAAACGAATGAATGAACGAATGCACACAAACACGATATCAGATCAGATCACGAAATCACGTAGTCAACTCGCACAACTGATTTCCCGCGCGTTATGCACTTATTACTTGTATTTTAATCCGCTTATGCATTTATGCATTCACTCATTCACTCATTCACCGAACGAACACAACCACAACTCAAATCTCACGCGAATCAATGAAAGAAAAAAAGATACAAGATACAAGAAACCAGACCAGTGGTGAGAAACCGATGTAATGATTCTGATTCTCATGTATCTACATATCCATATCTCCCCCTGCCCTATTATCTATCAATCATTCATCTTATCATCATGATCCCCTGCTCTCCATTTCCCTCCACTTCCCTTTAGTCTCTTCCACATCATCAATACCCCTCCCCCCCCCCTATCATATCTATAAAGTTCACTGTATCCAATCCCACCCATATCATACAGATCGAGATATCTAACTCCTTCCTTGTTTCTTATTCCTTGTTTCATCCATGCATCATCCACTATCTATCTTTCATTATTCTGCCATACCATACCATACCATGCTATTCGAACTTTCCAACTCCAGATTTCAATCAAATTCCCTCAAGCCATCCATCTGAAATGAAGCGTCTTCATATCCGTTTCGAAAATACAAAGTTGAAAGAAAAAAAAACCAATCAAACCACCCCCCCTCCCCCCCCGCCAGTGAACTTTTGTATCAAATTATCTCGTTGCCTGGTCTTTCTCTGTTCCCCCAAAACGCCATTATGCCATGTTTTTCAACCAGGACTTGTGTGTAAATACAACCAATGATATCCCCTGAAAAAAACTGTGAAGCAGTTGGGTAGAAAAGAAAATTCGTGACATTTAAAATCGCGCACGATAAATATTAAAATGCTTTTTGTATAATAAGCTGGGTTTCCCGATAATTACAAAGATGGGTGAAATGCGGAATTAAACGCGTCGTGTTGTGTTGCGTTGCGTTGCGTTGCAATGTGATTATGTAGTGGTTGGAGGTGAAGGAGGTGAAGGAGTTCCGTTAGTTTTGACGAGGTTTGTATCGGAATCTGACGAGGGAGTGGATGTCGAAGTAGATGTCGGTTCTGTAAGTTTTTGTTTCGAGGCTTGACCTTTCTCGGGTGTGTTTTTACGGGTCAGGGGGGAGTCTTCTGTCTCTTCCGGAATAGTTGCAAATTTCTTAAGAACCTGCTTGAGAGCTGGTCGTCGAATTGGTTTACTGTGGATGATTAATATTCCGGTTGTAATGAAAACGAATGGGTGGATTACTAACCTTAGGAAATGATTCATTCCGGACTCATAGCATTCTTTGACATTACTCTCTTCGGCAAATGCGGTAAGTGCTACAATTGGGGCAGAATAGCCCATTTCTCTAATTAGTCTCGTACTTTGGAGTCCGTCAAGATTTGGCATTTGGATGTCCATAAAGATCAAGTTAAAGAACTTTCCTTCTTCCATACTTTGTTTTACCATGTCATATGCCTCCTGGCCATCCTTGGCGATTACCACATCATACACATCCTCAAGTTTAAGCATACGAAGAACCACTTCTTGATTGACAAGATTGTCTTCAGCAACTAAAACTCGTATCTTCTTCCCACCTACTTTCTCTTTGGCAGCACGATCGACTGCAGCGAGTTGAGTCTTTGCGCTGTCTTCGTTGGGTGGAGGAGGAGGAGATGATGCAAAGAACGGTTGTCTAAGTCCTACCAATCGAGGTTGAGTATCTATGGAATAGCTTTTACTACTCTTTCCGGGAGAGCCTACAGCAGTCGTCGTATCGATGGAACCCTTAGGAGTATGGCGATCGTCTGGCTGTGAAACTACGCTAGCGGGTCGAGAGCCAATCACATCGGAACTGGAAGTACTTGGTGCTCGCTCCTTGACGAATTTCAACGGGAGTTGAACACTGAATGTGGATCCTTCTCCGAGTGTGCTGACGAGAGAGATAGAGCCTCCCATAAGACCTGCCAATTGGGAGCAAATACTCAATCCCAATCCTGTTCCTCCATATTTCTTGTTCAATCCCAAGTCAGCCTGTACGAAAGGCTCGAAGACTCGCTCCTGGAGATGCTGGGGGATACCAGGTCCGGTGTCCTCGACTTCTATTGAAAACCACAAAGTCCTCGCATTATTTGGTGGCGGCGTTGCCGATCTTTCATTGAGTTGGAGTCGAGCTCTAGGATCCATAGGATTGATCATAAGTGCAGTACCGGGTGCCTTGGTACCGGATCCTGTCCTTGAGATTTGCCCTGATGCGTATGTTGCAGTATGCCCTGAAGCATTCGAACTAGAGCCATTACGAGTTCTGGCATTCCTCTTTTGTGAGCTCTGCTTCGATCCCATAGATATTCGGCTATTAGCACCGTCGGATGATGATTCTAATTCACCTATACATCTGATTCTGACTTCCACTTGACCTCCTGGAGGTGTGAATTTGAGACTGTTGCTGACTAGATTGATTATAATCTGAAGAATCCTGTGTTGATCTCCCCATAAACACATATCCTTCAACCGACCAATGCCATTAGGGCCCAGAGCTGGCAATTGCTCTCCGGTCGGCTGCTCTGTCAGGTCCATACTTTCGGTACTTAAGAAGTGAACTCCGAAGTTAATACCGCCTTCGTCCACTTGTTTTCGGAATATGTTCTTGATCTGCTCTTTGACATCAGACAAACGGAACTCTTTTTCTTCTAGGTTCAATTGCTGCCCAATCTGATTCTTGCTGAAAGTCAAAAGATCATTCAGTAAATTGAGCAACAGATCACCAGATTTGTAGATCGTCTTCAAAGAACGTTTGATACTTGGCAAATCATCTTCGCCCATGCACACCGCACACATCCCAATAATGCCATTGAGTGGAGTCTTTAATTCGTCTGGAAAAACGAGGCCATTGCATGATGCAATGGTGCCCCTCAAGTATTAGCCAAAGTCATTATAAAAATAAAAATAAAAACTCACGTGATATGTTAGCAATGAATAGTGTTTTGCTCTCATTTGCAGCCTCCGCTGCCTTCTTGGAGTGTTCCAGCTGTTCTGTACGTTCAGCAACCTTGGATTCGAGACTCGTATATTGAGACAACAGTTCATCGCTCATCTCGTTAAACTTCGAGGTTAAATCGGTGAGTTCGTCATGTATCCAATGTTTTCGATCTGGTACCTTTCCAGGAATTTTGAAATCTCTTCGTCTATCCGCCCCAGATTTTTCTGCTCTTGACATACGCCGTCCTGAATGTGTCAATCTTTTCAGTCGAACCAGAAATCCCATTTTCTTCGACCCGTTTGAATTACCCTCGCCAATCTCTTCATCGCCAACTCCTTCATCGCCATATGGCTCGTCGTCTATACTTGGACGCGGAGTGTATCCTGGTGGCTGAATGGATTTTTTCGTGGCATCCCTTAGCCTTCTGATTGGGCGAACGCTAAAATGAGCCATAGGCACAGCCTTGTCACTGTTAGCTTTTTAAAGACTCAACTCAATTAATTCACCGTCCAATAAGGGAATTGAATAGTATATGATGAAGTGGAACTTACCACAATGATAATGAGCCCAAAAGTACCAAAGACACATGCGAGTAAGATATCTCTAAGCTTGATGATGGGCTCCCAAGCTTCGGAATGATGTTGTTCTACTATCAGAAGCCAATCAACTAGGTCGCTCTGTGGCCTCGCCCAGCCTACCGCGACATCCACTCCTTGCTCGTTTGTTGTTGTGATATAACTGCTGGCGTTATTGATCATAGGATTTTGTTCTCCAAACCCGTGTAGAATGCCCGGATATTGACCTTCGGAAAAGTTCGAGGTTCCGTATCTAGATAGATTTGCATTATAGATCGAATGCCTATCGGTTTGCCCGGCAAGAGGATATGGGGGAAACACATATTTGACGGTCGCCTTGGTCAAATTATGGAGATCGGGCTGGTATGTTGCTGTAGCTGGTCTCATTGCGTATGGAAACTGGTTGTCTCGTCGATTAGTTCCAACTACCAACACTATTCCTGTGTTACCTAAACCCTCCCGAGAGTAAATAACATCAATCAATGAAGTTGCAGCTGCTACTACAGTCATATATCCTAAGACGTTATCGGAGTTTGAATTGTCGATTATCGGTAATGTCAACGATACTAAAGCATAGGTACTGTTGATCTGTAGAGGCCCGAGTAAGAGGGCAGCACTCTGATTGAGTGGGTAATCGGCAAATGCAGATACCTCTGTAAAATTTGTCCCTGGAGCACTTGGATCGGGAGTTGTGGTTTGAACATACGATATATTCGGATACAAACTCGGTGGGTATCCCTGATCAGCATCGCCTAGAAAAGTAGGCTGATTGTTTAAGTTATCATAGGGCATTTCAATACCTGCAACACCTCCAGGCGATTAGTATAAGTTTCATCTATGAAGGAAGATGCCCTACCGGATGCATTGGCTGTGACATTCAATATACCATTGACCGAGCCCGTCTCATTCCTCGAAAATATCTTGACTTGAAGCAATGCAGATAGGCCACCTGAAGCCAAAGCGCTTTGTACATCTTCTTTTGCGTCTGCCCAATCAGGCTCTCCTTTGTAAAGGTTGCGAATGGCCTGCTGAATAAGGATCCTGGTGACGATTGTTGAACATGTGGCCCGGATTAAGAGTAAATCGGAAGCAACTGAAGCAGCTTTGAGTGATGCCGTGAGACTAAGTGCATTCTCCTTGACGTTGACTGTGAAATTGTAATTGTTGTACCAAGTAGCAAGAGCAAGCACTATCAATGGAACAAGAGAGGCCACCAGGACGACCAAGCCAAGTTGCACCCTGATACCGACCCTCATCTCCAAGTCGTTGTGTATATTTTTCGCAGACCCAATCGAGGAAGCTGTTCAGGCGTTAGTTTGAACCAAATCCGACCTCGTAGTCGGATGATTCGGAGAACTCCCGAACAGTTTCTTCGACAATGTGATCTTCGTCTCGTAGGATATCGGTTTGCTTTGTATGAAGTATTTACAATTCATCAAGAGTATCGTATCGTAACGTATCGTATCCGCGACAGAAATCGGTGAATTCTTTTCCAATTTTTACCATGCGAGTCTTGTAGCTTGTCCTCTTCCTCCAAGGTCTCAAGAACTCTCCACCCCGCGTTGGTGCTCGACTTGGTGAAATTCTTGTCAATGTATCCGTCGCATATCGGATTCAATGGTTCGAGAAAAGAGAGGCAGTAGTTAGATAGAGGATTGGGTTTAAAAAGGATGGAGTGAGCAAATGCAAAAAGCTGTCGCGTTCGCGGAAGAAAAGATGTGGGTGAGAAAGAGAAATGTGTGATTGATTAAAGAAAGAGTTGCTTCTAGCCTTCTAACCAGGATTAAGTTACTAAGGTCTTCGTACCCCCGAACCCCACAAAAGAAAGTCAACAGTATTTATTTTGATTTATTTTTATTTATTTTTATTAAGGTGACTGGCTCTAATTCTTTTCTTCCATCTATTCAAGTTAAAAGAGAGATTCGGATTCGGATGAAGTGAAAGAAAGTTACAAGTGCACCTGTCAAAAAAACTCGGGTACTACTCTGTAGTAGGTACTAGGTACTAGGTACAAGTAGAACCTGGTTATACCGGAACGAAAAATTTGACCAATTAGATCAAGTTTGCATAAGGTTTCGTACAGATTTTATACAGATTTTATACAGATTTTATACAAATATATCAAAAATAATCATGTGATATTCAAAAATATAATCTAATTAGGTTTTTGAAATCAGTTCAGCTAATAAAAGCCTATTATCTATACTGGATTTTCAAAAAAAGTTATCCGGTATTCCGATATAAGCTAAAAATCCGGTATCACTATACAAAATTCAGAGAATTCGATAAATTATTCCGGTATAACAGAATCCAGTATAACCAGGTTCTACTGTACTAGGTACTAGGTACTAAGTATAACTATAAGTAGAGAACTATAAATAAGTGATATCAAGTCTCACATCACCACCCATGATTACAGAAAAAACGGAAAGACTTCACCAAAAGCCATGGATACATCCTATTCCTTGCTTGTATCATACAGAAGCTCTAAGGACCGTTTTACTCTACTAGTACTTCTTGCACAACAACGCTTTCCTTGTACAACGTTAACTCAACAGTATTATAAATATAATTATACTAATCACGTGTTTGTGATTCATTCCTTTAATAATACCGAGGTCATATCGTATACACGGACCGAAGAAATTATCCGTCCGTAAAGCTACGACAACTTTGGTTGTCATGTCGGGGTTTACAACTCGAACTTTTGTATTGAGTGTTTTTCATATCAAATTTGGCAAGTGTACAAATGTTAGGCTTTAGAAGTTCTTCATTGATCCTATAAGATAATCTTAGTTGATGGAGGTTCTACTCCAATAAGCATTTATGCCTGCCTATGGTAGAGCCGAGAAAGTCACGGGCAAAAGCTAAAGTTTGGCTCGAGTCTGTTCATCTATCCGTATATCATTTCCTCCTAAAATACTACCTTCTACCTACTACCTAGGTACTCAAGCTGTGATGCTTTGATGGTTCAAAAGCCTTATACAGACAGACCTATAAGTCATGTGTCTCTATCAAAACTAGATCCGGTTCGGTCCGCCAACGACAAAGTTCTGATAGAAGTAGTTGACATCCGAGTCCTTTGATTTGAGTTTTGCGGCTTGTCCATTGCGCTACATACATTGGCTAGGCCATTATATCATATCTACCTTCAAGCTTGTTGGATTCCGCTATCATGTTAAATGTGATTGAAACGCTGGAGGTCATGTGGAAACATTCAGCGTCACGTTTTATTGTCTGAAACTACAAACTTCATGAACACTAATTCTGTTCTCGTCTCATTTTTGTTAGTATACTTCCACAAACTCTAGAGAGAGAGAGACTGGGAGAGTTAGTAGTTCTCGTCTCTTCTCTTGAGATTGCAACCCCCCCCCCTTTGTTGATGGTAGCTTAGAGCATACTACATTTCCCATTCTATCTTTAAGAGGCTACATATATTCATTGACCAAGGGAGATTACAACAAACTACAAGATGTACACGAAGTTTCGTTTCATATTATCGAAAACGGATGATATAACATAGTAATTCAATCATTATCTAAGGGGAACTAGTCTTAAAAGGCGCGGAACGGAAAAACCCCCTCGGTCCAAGACGACGTCCCCCATCAAAACGACCACCGGTATCTGAGCACCCTTTAGCTTGCAATATCTGATAATCAGGATCATACAAACGTTCCGGAATTGGTCGTGGTATCATATCCCATCGATACTCAAAACAAGGATTATGAGAATTTCCCACCCGATCAAATTGCAGCACCGAGAATTCAACACGCACAATCGTGCGCATATAATCCCTATCCGCTACAGGTGAATCATGAACACTATACGCATTCATCAGATTAATCTCATAAGGTTGTGCCTGAAAAGATTTCTTGATATCGCCCAAACGCTCGAAAATGTTATAGAAATGATGTGTTTGCAAATCGTAAGGACGCATATCGAAAGGATGAGCAAAAAATCGGGAGGGCAATGTGTTGGCTACTAGGTACGCGTGATCAATGGGGTGTTTTTCGGGGTGCGTTCTATCTCGAGGTAATCCATCGACATGCAAACCGCTAACACGCTGGGACTGTCCAGCACGTATGTGTAGCTGATCCACGGTCAAGTAAGCATAGTATTTCTCATAAGCAGAATTAATCGCCATTTCCGCATCAAAGATCTTTTCAAGCGTCTCGCGGAACTGCAAATAATTGTTAGGAACGCGGATGTCAGAATGTGCCATCTTGATGGGTAGATGGATACAACGAGGAACTCCCAAGAGGTCGAATTGGGGTTTGTCGCTAACGGTGTCGATTACAACGGGTATTCGCGGTGTGAGAAAGTTCTCGGAGTTCCATCCTTGGTTGATGTCCTGGACTACGGTGTGCGTCTGTAAGTGATGGAATGACTCTGGGGATAGCCTGGTTTGGTGCGTGAAATAACTTTCCTGTAAGGTGGGTGTGGTGTATATGGATGCTGAGTTTCGGACGGTTTCGATATTTTGTTGAGAAGTTGCACTCATGTTTGTGTGTGGTGCGTTGCTTGTTGTAGGGGTTCAATGCAGGTGTTTGATGATTACTTGCAGTGGCTAGTAGCTACGCTAGTCAATGGTTAAGTCGTTGATCAAGAGGTAGGGATAGAGCCGATGAAGTCAAGTAGTAAAGTAGAGGGAGTTAGATTGGGAATGTAGAGTGAATGGACAGATCTAATATATTGCTTAGGTTCACCAGAGTATTTATACACGAAGATTGTTGCCAGTATCAACTGATCGCATGTCCCTCGGGCTTCCTACCAGGGTGATTCAAACAAGTTAGTAATGCGTGCTCGGCCGAGTAGCTTCAACCGTGAACCATGAAACGAGCAACATTGACGTAGTAGAATGGGCAATTTGAAAAATGTAATTGGCACCCTGCTAGAAAAATGATTCTTTTGATATATTGCCGGTTAGTACTGCGTCTCCAGCGCGTAAAATTGGAGGTGAAACGGGCGAATATCACGTACGTAGTTTAGCCAACCCATTCACGGCGTCTAAAAGCTACTCCACTCACTGACCCAACAGCCGTCTGTTTGTTATGTTCCTTCTCAGTATCTCATATATATATATTCACGGCATTCGATTATAATTCACACAATATCATAATTACATACGTTGGAAAATTCTCCTACCCCCAACATCAACTATCAATAATCACTCTTTAATTATCTCTACCTCTCCCACACTACACTTCACAATAACCATGGCATCCATCAATCAACACGCAACTGGCACGCGACCCATTCTTCCAGATATCCCAAGACTTCTGACATCAGCTTCGACCAATACACTTCTAAGTGCCCTCTCCAAGTCCACCGAGGAACATGTCCAATATCTGCACGCGATAGGTCTTTCCGATCGAGCCATCATGGCCATAACATCCCTAGTAGCCGAAACCCCCCCAGCTCCCCATATCTCAGATCACCCACGCAACTACCTCCCCTCCTCACCAATCCCCCTCCCCCTCCCCCTCCCCCTCTCCCTACAAAATTTCCATCCCCACGAAAAAAATACTCTCATCACCACCGTTCCCGGCCCCACAAACCGCGAACGGGATATCCAACTACTGCTCGATATCCGTTTATATCCCGCTCTAGCAGCATTACTGCACCATCTCCCTCTCGAAATCTATCGGGAACATATGGACACCATGATCGACACGTACCGAAAACGTGGCTGGAAACCCATTTGTCGCTTCACCGTCCCTTCGGCTGTGACATACTATCTCATGCAATCAGAATCAGAAGGCTCATCCCGATACATGATGATCATGGCCGGCCTATGCGGCGAAGAAAACATATTAGCCCAACTCCTGACTCTCAAACTAGCAAATGTGAATCTAGAGGGCATAATGGTATACGGGCCTCCAAACTTCTACTCCCAGCTAGCCGAACACGAAGCCGAAGATGCCATAACATCCATGCCCGCCCTCAGCACACTTCCCTGCATCATACTAATAGCGAGCTGCGGCACCGAAGAAATGCTCGAACGCGTCGTCCTATCCAAACAAACACCCTGGAACACGCAATTCTCCAAACAGACATTCGAAGGCTCCATCCTAAAACTCATCTCCTACACATACATCCCAGAAATCAACGCTGCCCACAAACCTAGCACAAATATAGTGATTCTCTCGCGCGTATACGGTGATACGATGGAATACGTATTGCGGGCGCTCCTCGCGCGAACCCGCTGCACCCATCTCTTTAGCGGAGGAGCCGGAGGCTACATACCGTCGTCGTCTCAACCACGCAATGAATGGCCTCCGATCGGTACATTCATGCCTATTCAGCAAAGTATCTTTCCCTCCCGCCAACAAGTCACTATACCCCCACCCTCTGCATTTGCTAATCTAAATCTAAATCTAAACCTCAACTTTCCAAAACTAGATATATATCCCGGTACATCTACATCTATAAGGAAAGATGCACGTCCACATCTACACATCAGCGCCGTCCTCCTAGAAACCTACACCTGGCTCACCGCATGGCAAGATACAGGATCCACAGTCGATATCGAGACTGCGCATATTCTGAACGCGATCGCAAAGTATCATGCTGAGGAAAACGCGAGTGGTGCGAAACATAGTTGTGTTGGAGCTCCAACGGCGCTATGTGGGATTTTCGTTTCGGATTATGTGGGGGTGGAGCCGTTAAGATCTTATGGGGGGGTGTATGAGCAACATGATGGGGTTGTGGGTCCGTTTTTGGATGGGGCTATCATATGATGGCGGATGGCGGATATGTTATAATTGATAGTTGCTGCTACTTGGGTATGTGGTTATGTTTGCGAGCATCTAAAAGCTTGAAGTTGTTAGATACTTATGGTTATCCCGCAAAGATCGAGAATGGGGAAGTGAAGGATCATGGTACCTGCTGGTTGAGAAGGAAGCCGAAGCAGGATCTTTGGGGGGTAGGTAGCTAGCTGACTGTAGTTGCGTTGTGTAGAAGCCGAAAAATTCATGGCTATTAGGTGATTAGGTCATGATCGGAAGAATCTCTCAAATTTCAGCTATAAAACTTCAGCTTCAACTTCATTCTCATCGAAACAAATCATTTAACCAGCCAAGTCAAAATTACGTATACTTTTCGTATACTCCATACTAATCATCTTACAATCGTATCGATCCATTCATATCCTCCGTTCTTATCCCATTCCCCTGTTCCATTCCCACACCCCACACTCGATATATCCTTCACATCCCCATCACTAATCCCCTTCTACCATCACATAACCCTCGCAAACTATATCTCGAAGATTTCTCCCACTCCCTCACCCCCAGCCCTCCTATTCTCCACTAAATCCAGCCTCCATCCCTCCCAATCCTTCAACCCCCTTTTGATCTCCTTAACTCTCTCAATCCTTTTCATCGCCTCCTCCTGTTGTGCTTTCCCAAATGCTTCCTCGTCGAATTCTAGTAGCTCATCATCGTCCAATAACTCATCATCTTCTGCTCCCCCTTCCCTATGTACATGTCCAGTCGATACCGTACCCCCCGTGATGGCATTAAAGCCACTTGTCAAATAGTCTCCAATTCCCCTGCCTTGATGCAAGCCCCCACTCTTTCTCGCATGGGGACTGCCACTTCCACCACCTAAATCCACATCCGTGAATCTCGCTCCGGGACTCGTAACCCCATCATCTCCCTCACCTTCCATTTCCCTTCTCCGATCCCTCCATAACCCACGCCGCAAATCGTGCACTTCCGCCTCCAAATCTCTAATTTTCCTTTCCAGTCGTTCTCTCTCCTCATTCTCCAATTCATCCACACCATCATCATCGGCCCCCTGTGCAGCGCGTCTTTTTAATTTGTCTCTTTCTTCCTTTAGATGTAGATTTTCGTTCTCGACACTTGCCAATCGAGTTCGGAGATCCAATGCTTCTTTGTCCACTCGTTCTCGTTCTCTCTTTTGGGTTTGCGATCGAGCATCGTGCTCTTTGTGAAGTGTCGTAAGTGTAGAGACTTTCTTTTCGAGCGCCTCCACTTTCTTCTGAAGTTCATCGCTATGTGTCTTAGCTTCCTCTGCTTCCCTTTCTAGCGTGCGTAATTTCGTTTCTGCGGATATGCGTTCGCTACCTTCCTTGACGGCCTTCTCAGTTGTTCGTTCAAGGTTCTTTTTTAGGTCTCCCAATTCACGTTGCGCAATCGCAGCCGATTTTTCACTTCTGGCTAATTTATCCTCGAGAGCGGTAATTTGTTCTTTTTCCACAGATGATCCTGATGCTATACGCTCAAGCTGTGCCCGAAGGTTAGAAATTTCAATTTCCATTGACTCGATGGTCGAGGATTTGGAACGAAGCTCGGCTTCCAAATCCGATGCTGCTGGTACCGATGCCGAAGGCGGAGATCCATGCTTTCGCGAGGACGAAACCTGAAGTTGTGAGTTTTGTCGTTGAAGCGCCGCGATTTCTGATTTCTGCAAAATTCAATTAGCCCCATATCAATTTCACACTATCTTCCCAGCACTTACCAACTTTTCCACTTCCTCCGCAGATTCAGTATCGGTACTCTTACTCTTCTCCCCCTTAGTAGACTCTCCATCCGCCTCCCTCAAATCTTCCAAATCTTCCTCAACCTTTTTCCACCTCTTCTCTGCATCCCCCGCCTCTTTACTCAACCTCTTATTCTCCCTTTCCAAATCCTCAATTTTCAAAGCTTGTTTTCTATAAATATCCGGCGCCGTATCACCACTAGGACTAAAAGCCATCTCTGGAGAAAGAGGCCCCGATGCCTGTCTAAAAGAAGACGACCTCATCTTCGATTGTACCGATAACGAGGGTGATCTTCCATGTCTCGTAGAAGAACTGAGTTCCGCTACCTTCTCCTCCTCAGCTATATTCTCTGGAACTTCTGCGGGCAATTCATATTTCTTGTCTTCCTCGGCGTTTGTCTCTTGAGGGGCAGGTGTTGATTCAACAGTAGTGTCGAGTGGTGCTTCAATAGAAGCCTCAAGTGATACTTCAGCGGAAGTCTCAGGCGTCTCTTCACTCTTTAAAGCTCCAGCTCCAGCTACAGTATCCGATTTCTCTTCCTTTTTACCCCCCGCCTTCTTCGCTTTCTTCTTCTTCATTTCCTCAACCTATATATCGACCATCAAACCATTAGTGACTATCCTCAATCTCTATCTCCAAAAGCCCACGAGTCATCATTCCCTCACAATAAACAGGACAACATACACGTTTCTTAGCCGCCGCCAGCTTTTCAGCCTTTGCCTTTTCCTCTGCGTCTGCCATATTCAATTTATCAAGACCCTTCTTTCTTATCTGTGACCAGTTTCGTCACACAGTATGTAATTATTCACAAAAGCGCACGTCGTCAGAACCGTCAATTCATCAAGTTCAAATTGTCAAAGTAAATAAATATTCAGACCAGCTTGTCCCCTCTGTTACAATTCACATGCCATATCCACGCTAAGCCTAGCTCCCGCTGCCCGCATTACCCAACAAGGATAGGTAATCTAATCTAATTTTAGCCGATAACGCCCTTGCAAGTTGTAACCCTTCACTCCACATCCACATCCACCTTAGCTGTTTCCTTTATCAGTTGATCTTCAATTTCCTATCTATTCTTGCCATCTTCATTTCATTTTGCTTCTTTTTCTGATAATTACTATTCAAGTAGATAGGGAGGCCCCTTCTCCTATTTTTATGGTCTTTTTGGAATTCTTACACCCAATCACATAATATCAATTGCACAACGCATACAGACAAAGACAGCTCTACCCGTCTCTATCTCGGGTCCAACCACCAACACCCACAATTCACAATGACTTCCCGCCCCTCCTCTTCTACCTCCCATCCAAACCCGAACTCAGACCCAAACCCACCTCCAAACTCGAACCTCTCCCTCCACCTAACCGACACAGCTCTCACCCCCCTCCTCACCCCCACTCACGCCAACCCCCCACAAACCCAACCCCTCACAACCCTCACAACTACCGCCCTCTCCGCCTACAACTCCTCGCGACATCTCCGCCTCGGAACCCCCCAACGAATCATCATCGAAACCAACTCTTCGGGTCCCATCCTCCTGCATTCCTTCATTGCCCCTCCATCAACCCCCGCCCAATCCAATCCCATTCAGGATCGCAGTCAAACAACACATACGCGTACACATATACACACGCATGGTCATCATATTCAAATCGATATAAATGGAATACAAAACATAAACGGCGGATCGAGCGTTCGCGGACTAGAAATCCTAGCGGCGGCTCGAGAGGAAATGCGACCATTGAGCGGCACGACGGAGGGAAGTCCTGTAGAGGAAGAGCCTCATGATGTGAGGGATGAGGGAGAGCAGGCTCCGTTATTGATAGGGACAGTGGTGGCGAGGTCAGCAGAGCAATTAGGGGAGGCGAGAAGGGCGGCACACACGATTGAGATTCTTGCGAATGGTTTGCAAAGAGAGTTGACAAAAGATACGGAAGGTAAGAGGGACAGAGAGGACGATGGTATGGCTGAAGATGGTTAAGACATTTGGAGACTTGGAATAAAGAGTTCTGGAAAAAGTAACGATCAACTGGTATACACTAGCGAGGGGATGCTGTTTTCCTATCGCATATCGACGAAAATAAAAGCTTTTGGGTGGAGGTCAATATCTTTAAGAAAAGAACGAAAAAGAAGATAGATGTCGAGTAGATCCGAGAAGAGGCGCATTATCGGGGATTCTCATGAGGGGAAGAGTCGGGACCACAAGTATCTTTCAAAAAAGCCCAATGCAACACAGATACACATATAAAAATTAATGGTTCGTTCATAAATCATTTGCTTATTTTCATAGTCTATTTGGCGAACTACACCCATGACCTGCATTATTCATAAAATGCCCCAAAACCAGCCGCGAAATTCTTTCCAAATATTTAGATAAGTTGCTTGAAAGCTCTGTTGATAGGGGAGCGGATGTTGGGAACCTCCTTCCAAAAATCAACAGTGGCGACAGCACGCTTGGAGATACCTTCTGGTGTGAATTCGAACTTCTAAAGTGGGGGTTAGCATGTATTTCAGTCTAGATTTGATTAGAAATTATATCATACCTTGTAAACATCTTTGTAAGCACCAGAGGCACCAAATCTGTTGAGACCGAATTGCTCGTGGGTGTAACGTTCCCAGCCCATGGTGGACATAACTTCAACGGACAAAGATGGGATACCGTCTGGCAAAATGCTGAGTCTATACGCATCTGATTGAGCATCGAAAACCTCGAAACAAGGAATAGAGACAACACGTGCTGTAAGGTTGTGCTTCTCCTTGAGGTACTTGACAGCATCAACACAGATACCAACCTCGGAACCAGTGGAAACAAGGGTGATGTCTGCCTTCTCAGCATCGTGCACAACGTAACCACCTTTAATGGCGTGGCCGAGAGTTGAGTTCTCGAGCTGAGGAAGGTTCTGGCGGGAAAGGGCGATAATGGAAGGAGTGTGCTTGGAAGTCAAGGCAACGTAGTAAGCTGCGCTGGTCTCGTTTCCATCAGCTGGTCGCCAGACCATACAGTTGGGCAGAGCACGGAAATGAGCCAAAGTCTCAATAGGTTGATGTGTTGGTCCATCCTCACCAAGTCCAATGGAATCGTGGGTGGCAACCCAGATAACACGTTGTTGAGACAAAGCAGAGAGACGGATTGCACCAGCAGCGTATGAAACGAAGTTAAGGAAAGTTCCTCCGTATGGGATAACAGTTCCGTATGCAGCCAAACCGTTCATGATAGCACCCATGGCGTGCTCACGTACACCGTATCTGATGTATCGTCCGGACCAATCACCAAGACCGGTAGAAGGAGCTTGGAAGTCAACGGCCTCCTTCCATCTGGTCAAGTTGGAACCAGTCAAATCTGCTGAACCACCAACAAGTTCTGGGATAGCTTCGTGAATCTTTTGGAGAACGATCTCAGACAACTTTCTTGAAGCGACTGCCTCATCGGATGGGGAGTATGTTGGGAGGTTCTTTTCCCAACCTTCTGGAAGCTCACCGGACAAGCGGCGCTTGAGATCTGCAGCCTCCGAAGAGTACTTTTGGGTGTACTTCTCGAGTAATTGATTCCACTCTTGCTCCAATGCGGCACCATGGGATGCGCGCTCGTGGCAAATATCGTAAACTTCTTGTGGAACAACGAAGGACTCTTCGGGGTTGAAACCGAATTTCTCCTTGAGTTGCTTGATATCATCGGCCTTGAGAGGGGACCCGTGAACACCGTGGGTACCTTGTTGCTTAGATCCGAAACCAATAATAGTTCTGAGCTTAATCATGGAAGGCTTGTCCTTAACAGCTTGGCACTTCTTGATAGCAGCCTCCATGGCTTCCAAATCATTGTCACCATCGGTAACAACCTCGACATGCCATCCATATGCTTCGAATCGCTTCACAACATCTTCAGTGAAAGCCACGTTGGTGTCACCATCAATGGAAATGTGGTTATCATCGTAGATAGCAATGAGGTTGCCCAATTGCAAATGACCAGCCATTGAAGCGGCTTCACTGGCAATACCCTCCATCAAACATCCATCACCGAGGAAACAGTATGTATAGTTGTTGATTAACTCAAATCCGGGCTTGTTGAACTCGCCAGCTGCGTGTTGTTGTGCGATGGCAAGACCAACGGCGTTGGCAACACCCTGACCAAGAGGGCCAGTGGTAACCTCGACACCATCGGTATCAGAAGATTCTGGGTGACCAGGAGTATGACTATCTATCGACTGAATTGGAAACAAATTAGCTGAAAGCCAGGATTTCAGAACATGGGGCAACTCACTCTGAAAGATTTGATATCATCCATAGACAACTTGTAACCGTAAAGGTGGAGAAGAGCATATTGGAGCATGCATGCATGTCCGTTACTGTAAATTTCGGACAATTAGCTTTTAAAATTAGGGCTCTCATTCAAGACTACTTTGGCAATAACACAGATGTAAGGATCAAGCCATGCCATAACCAATTTTCCCATATAGAATAATAGTGATGGCCCTTCGGACGCAACTTTTCTCCTCAAATGCATACCAGTGGGAAAGTATTGAATGTGAAGGACAATGATGCGCAAAACATTCAATGGGGATGAGAAATGATTGTAACTTACGAGAGAACAAATCTATCGCGGTTAACCCAGCTAGAGTTCTTTGGGTTGAAGTTCATGATCTTGTTGAAGAGGACGTGGGCAACTGGTGCCATTCCCCTAAATACTTCATCAGCTAACAGTATATTTTTGTGCCAACTCTTCAGAACTCACATTGGGGCTCCGGGATGACCGGAGTTTGATTTAAATGTAGCATCGGCCTTGACATAGGATGTTAGTACTTGAAATGATGATACTGTCGCTGAATTGTAGATTTGAAGGAAGCATCAAGTGCCCGATGGCGGGGCAAATTCCTAATGAAAAGGTAAAAGTAAAGACAACTTACAGAAATAACGCGGATGGTGTTAACAGCAAGTCTATCAACGTCTGTGAAACCCATGACGGCGATTGTATTAAACGATGTATCTTTTGGGTATATTGGGTATATTGGGTATTGAAATTCTTTGAGAGAAAGAAAGGTTGTTGAGTAGAAACGATGAAGAGAGAGATGAAGAGAAGTTTAGAGTTAACTTATAAAAAGGAGGGGCGGATCCGATGTATTTGGTTGTTTTTATGGTGGGGTGAATTTCGTCACAAACTCATAAATAAAGAGTGGATCCTTCACCGAGAAGCTCTTAAGAAGTTAGGAGTTCTCAGATTAGATTCGGTTATTCAGCAAAAGAGGGTATTCATATGTTTTTTATACATATTCCGTATACTTTCTTTCTATTTTGACCAATCATGAAGAGTTTATCACCACGGATTTATACTAAAAGCCAAGTCGAGATATATATATGGGAACTTTCAGCTAAAGGGCCGCCAGTCATCAAACGGCCCATTTATCAACAATTTCCATCTATAAAAGTATCTTTTCGCTAGTGTTTCTAAGCTCTCGGCAGTCTAGAACTTATTTTTGTATGACAGATTACATATGTGAGTATATATTATGACTTTTTTGCAATCTTTCCAAACTCTAATATAAAGCATACAAGTATCACAATTCTCACAATTCTCACCTCACCTCATCGGTTTTAACTTTTAAGAAGGGCATTATCCGGAGGGGGTCAAGATATCAAGCATTTGTTTGACCCGTTCTTCGGATCCGTGTACTACTCATGCCGCGAGAAAGTAAGTCTGCAACTCGGGAAGTTAAAAAAATAGACTATTCCTGTTGTAGTTTACCACTATATGGTATGTGCGGACTTTCTGGTGGTATAAGTATTATTTAGAAACATCAAAGAAAGGGAAAAGTATCAAAAACACAGTATCAACACTCGGGATAGATTAGATGCATCAATATCTCAAAGTGTTTGCTACCCCGAGTTACAGAAGGGTCTTTTGGAATATCTTCTGACCAATCGAATTCCTCCTTATAGATAGGTAATGGTCTATTGAGCCTCGACTTCTTCTATCAGAACATCAGAATATCAGAATATCAAAACACAAAGATTAAATTCTGAGGATAGCTGAGTACGAGCGAGTCCTGGACGTCCTAGGTAGGTATCTTCATGAGCATCCATCTCTCCATATCTTCAGAACCCTGAAATATTCATGAGATACCTACCTAGGTACCTAGATATGATGACGCCAATCAAACCTACGAATAGATACTGCGAGATTGATTATGACCTGGCAAGATTCTTGACCATCGAGATATAATAAAATATAAAATATAGGCAATCCAGCATATGCCGTGGCATCTCAACAGCATACAATACATACCGGTATAATTCAGGAGATCCGATTCGGAAGAGCGTACAGTGTACAGGACGAATCACGATACAGTCAGTCGTAACATTACCGGTACGATACCGGTAGTACAGTTCCAATCTTCTCTCCTCAGAACTATAGGTATATCCAATTATTCCTTATCTTTCGCATTTCATTTTTTAAATCTCATCGTCGCTCGCTCCTTCACAACAAGCGAGCGTCGGCATGATATACTTACTGTATACAGTAAAAGGAAGTATAATAACACAACACCGAGATTTAAATCCCATCTTTTCTCTCTCTCTCTCTCTCGACAAAACTACGAGTATGTGCAGTCAGGTATTATTCAATAAATGCTACACTACGATATCTGTACGGTATCTGATCTAATTGATTGATTGATTGATCTCTCCCAAAAATCGTGGCTTGCTTACATACTGCATCTTCGAGGACACACTTCAAAACTCGTATGATAATGCCCATCCACGGCTTCGCTTTTGCAGCTCTTATTACGAGCACACCACCACAACAAAAGATGCATCGAATATTATTGCTACCGCAACCTCCACTTCAGATCCAACCAGTACAGTATGATATGATATGGAATCCTAAAGGTTCGGATGTGTACTCGTACACTCGAAAACATTTCACTCACTAGGATCAAGACTCATTCGTAACGTTCGAAACTCAGGCTTCCAATAATAAAAACGCCAGAGATTATTATCATTGGGTATATACCGTACATACCAATTGAAGCACATGATAGATGCAAATGGTAATCATAAACTCCCAATGTAGGATACCGTACTCCGTAGTGTAGTGTGCCTCCTCCCACTCCACCAAGATCCCACCCAGTCTTATCCGTCTTTTTGCAATCCCACCCCCATCCATCCATGGATCCATCCCATGCTCCCGAGTCCCGAGTCCTGAGTCCTGAGTAGTCCACCAACCAACGCCGGAGAAGAAATCCCATTCCATCCCACCCCACCCCACCCGAAACCAAGAAGAAAAGAACAAACTATTCTTTGCACGACTGTCCATTCTCCTCCTGATCATAACAAAAAGCAGAGACGTCGAAGAGCAGCGGATCCAGACCTTCCACCCTCGACCCGTCCCAACCTTTAACATCGCATGGCTCAAAAGCTTTCGGCGACCCCGACCCCGACCCTGACGCCGATGCCGATGCCGATACCGATCGTTCGGGATTGGACTTCTCTTTGCGCAGTCGATCTAACTCCTGTTTGACGCCCGAATACTCTACTTGTAACGACTCATATGATCGCGAGAGATTATCATGCCGACCCTCCAGTTCATCCAGTCGTTGCTCGAGCTCCCGCATGTGTTTTTCTTTTCTATCTCGGAAGGCTCGTTGCGAAGCTCGATTTTGGGCTCGGCGACGCTGCGTGCTGTTAGTGTCTAGTTCGGTGGGTAAGGTAAGGTTAGAAGTAGATGGATTGGTGGCCACTTACCGAATGCACGTGTGAAGCTACCACTTTCTCGTTTCCATTCTTTCTCTTTCGTCGATCATGATCTTCGTATATGCCTTCGATATCTAACTCCACTGGTATCAAACCCATCGGTACGCCGTTTGGTTGATATTGCATGGGATATGATGGATATGTCATAAATGTATTTCCTCCGTATACGTGATCGTTTCCTCCATATACGTGATCGAAAGTCTGTAAAAATTATAAGATTCTGGAATGGAATTGGTAGGTAGAGTTTGAACCTACATGGCTATTGTGTGGTGAGCTAGCTGAAGACTCGCTCGAGGTGTCGTATATATTCATGTCTCCTTGTATCAAATAAGAATCGGTAGAACCGTCGTGATGATGATAGTGGCCCGCTGCCATATTGAAATATATCTTGTTATTGGGAAGTATTGTTTGTATGTTGTGAGTTGTATGTTGTGAGAGGAAAGACCGAATGTTATATTGTTATAAAATCAAAAAGAGGTTCGAGTCTGACTTGAGTATTGTGAGGCTATGACGCTTTCAAATAGTATTCAATAAAACTAGTCATCGGGGGTCTCAGTAACTTTAAATCTTACATGCTCTCGACAGGATGTGCTTCGACGGACAATGATATCCCAGCCCCATCACAGGTGGCACCAAACCGATGAAACAAACAAGCCCTATCGATCGCTGTTGCGGAATCAACGCTTCAAACCCGCATACCGCTGTTAATCATAGACAATACTGCTCAGGGAAAGTATTGCATCCAATCACAAACTCGAACAGGCTCAAAGGAAGCGGTAACAGCTTTTCTTGGGACATGGGCGTGTTGTACTTTGCATGGAAGACCTGGGATACATGACCCTTTTTGCAATATTTCCAGCCCACGATCCTCACATCCCCAGCGACTTCCACCAGTCAAATCCTTCATGTATTTCACATATCTCATATATTCCATCCATCCATCCATATAGTATAACAGGGTACGGGTGCACCGCTAAGTCGTTCTGCATGTTAAGGTTACGGGATAGCATGGGACAACATGGGACAACATGGAATAACAGAGACCGGCATGGCCTTGTGGGGGTCCCACACACCAATCAGAAACCCGCTTCATCATCGATCACCCATTACATAAACACCCTCACCCAAATTTGGAGTGCTTACTTTATGAAGTCAGAAGAGACCCTAGACCATTCTTCTCGCTGACAATACAACTTTTCATCGTCGGTAAAGATCTCTAGCTTGCGCTAGCTTGCGCTGGTGAGTTGATCCTGGTTCATTTCATACTGTTTTCGTCCTCGTGTACCTCGTACTGCTCATGCGGGCTGACGGCCAAGACCTGTGCCTCGGACTTACGCTTTCTTGTACATACTATATTGATGGGGGTTTGGGTTTTGGAGGAGATGGTATGTGATAGTTTGGGGAGTGGGAGAGTTGGGTTGGGGGGAAATGGATTCTTGTCTAGGCGAGTTGAAGATATACATATCCATGTTTTTGGCCGTTATTTGAAATAAAGATGGTGATATTGCTTGTCTTTGAGATCTCTTCTAGTTCAGTCACATCATATCACATCACGTTCGTCATTTTCAATACCTAGGTAGACCTACAATATCTTGAGCTTTATCCCATCCCCAGCATAACCAAGAAGCTATTATATCCAACTAACCTTCCTTAATCCAACGACTAATATTTAAGTAGGGCGTAGTGTAGTACCACCTACAGTATAAACCAAAGCTTAACATTAAAATAACGTCTGAAGGATTCGGACCTCCCCTGCCATGCATGCATCGCCTACCCACCCTTACCCTAAACCCACCTACGAGGGAGGTACCGCAGATCCCAAAGAACATCATGGATACTCAACTCCCATAATAGGTACCGTAGGATTCCGTCAGCATCTGCATCTACATCATCATCAGCATCAGCATAAGCATTTGAATACAAAGCTCTGATTCCACTGCAATTGATTTCCCCACTGGTATGGCATGGCATGGTATAGCCCCTCGTTATCCGAATACTTACCTTTTTCGGTTTGATGTCTTGTCTTTTGGGTAGGGGAAGAGAACAGGGTAAAAGAGGGACCCTGAATCTATATCGAAAAATCGCTTGATTCGAGGGAATCCTTTGGCCTACATAGATAGTATCATGTCGTATCATATCACATCACATCGTATCAGCATGAAATCTATCTATACAGGGAATGTTTTTATGGGAATCAAGATTGTATTCTCGCATTTCTCCATCTCGCCATTTTGCGGCAATTTCGCCATGTGTAAGATAAGGTTAACATGGCAGTCATGCCGATTCCGAACCAAATGCTCTCCTTTCTTTTGAATCCCGAGGGTGATGCATGTAGTACCATAGGTCTTGAGATGGAAGGATATCATATTTGATTAGATTATCTCATGACTTACCGGTACTCGAGTATCTAATATCTAACATCACAGTTCATTTCACTACAGCATGTATATAATATATATCTATCTACTTCCTTCTACAACATTATCATCCCCCCTCCAACCATTTAATCTGATCTTTCGAATCCTAAATCCTCATTAAATCATAACCCCTAACTAATCCCCTTCCCACCCCACCCCACTCCATCATCCCACAACCAAGCAAAAATAAAACGTGGCAAATAACCTTCTCCATACCAAATCTACATTAAACTTCTGACTATTCTATCCCCCTTACCAATCGAACAAATAAATAAATACTCGGCCCTACTAGTCTGAAAACAGTATATTCTCGATTTGTGATATTGGAAACAGAGGGTGGCATCTACTTGTACTAATATCTTATCTAATCCCCAATGTCCCGTCCGCTTTCTCTATCTGTTATTGTTTGATTATCTGATATGCGTATTTTCACTTTTATAAAATCCAAGTACTCGAGTATACCGGTACTCTACTCTAGTGTATTTAGCCGTTACGTCACGTCACGGTCTATACCAGTGTGCCAGTGTATATCAGTCAGTGTATATTAGTACCGTATACATCAATCATTAGAGTAGTATCAAGGTCATCGATAACACATCATTTTATGATCACCTCTACTCGAGTATATTGAAATCAGATATCGATTAGCTTTTAGAGATCTAGTCTAATACTGTACAAAAGTACCCATCTAGAAAATAGCCTTCGCTTGTACAAGCCGAAAACAGTAAAAGTATTTTGACTTGAAATCTAATTCTATCTACCGGTAGTTCTAGTTCTAGTTCTACCTCTAATAGTTCTGAGCACTGGCATGCATCCCATGTTTTCCCCCTTGGCACTTCAGCCCAACCTAACCCACTCCAACTCATCAATACAGGTACAGGTACAAATACAAGTTCTCCATTTATTAATACAAAAATAAAAACCCGAGAAACTTCTATATACATACTAGTGTCTTTCCCATCTCTACATCCCACGTCTACCCTTTCCCCTGCCTTCCCCATTCATTCAAACATGCATCTGCATCTGCAGAAGGATAACGATTCTTATCACATTACATTTGTCATTCCTATATCGCTTACTCCGTACACATTCAAGCACAATACCAGTATGCAACCTCCAGACCTGAAACTTTTCCGTCTCAAATTCCCGGGGTAAATTCAGACTTCCGTTTGTGAAGGGGGAGAAGGGAGGGGAGAGGAGATGGGGGCTCATGATATATATCGTATACTTGTCTATTTGATGCATGTATATTTAAAAATGCGTATAAACATTTGAAAAATGATTGCAGTGGCCATCGAAACCTGCATCGATTATATTATAGGAATATTTTACTCGAATATATATAACCTTATCTCAAGAGATTTCGGTGGGATATATAACTCCAGGAACATGGTTATTAGCCAGTAACCTTAACCTTAACCTTAATCTTAATCTTAACCTTAATCTTGACCTAAAATACATCTTGTTTTCTAGCGACTAGATACGATATCTGAGTAAGGTAGCGGCTTGAAAATACTTGAGTATATATAAAAGAAGGGAGATCTCGCAAATCACATCGATCGCATATCACTTATCGCATGTCTAGATTAGATGTACAGGAAGGAAACTGGAAGACACTCACAAGTTTATCAATCAATATACCGGTACTACCCCATTTTCCCCAGATTGTCGAATGGGAATGCGGATGCGAACGAGGGAGGTGTGAGGTAGGAATCGTGGAGGTACCTAGGTAGATAGGTTAGAGTTAGGTAAAGTTGGAATGAAGCGATGGCGATGGCGATGTAGAAGTTCATGGTGCGAGGTTTGTGAGAATGCAGGATGGATTTGGGATATGAGTGTCACGACTTACTTGTATAGATAAGGGAGGATCTGAGATATATATACTGTGTATAATGTGGGTGTGATATGGTGTGATATGATCTGATATTGATATGATATTTGATAATAAGTATCTAAATATCTAATCTACATCTGTGTACTGTACACTACTCGTTACTGTTACTGTTACATATACTGGAATAAACAAATATCACCATACTCCCAGCCCCAGTTATTTCTCAAGTGATCTAGACTCTCGAATTTTTCCAAGTCTTCACCTTATACAGTAGACCGGATAGTACACGACACCGAATAGCTTCTCCTATACTACCAATCCGGGAAATTCCCATTATATACAATACATTGCGCACCTCGTTGGATATGCGGATGAAATTGCTGCCTATCTGCACTGCACTGCACTGCACTGCACTGTGCACAATATCAATATTGTACCACTCAACTGTTCGAGTACAATGCATAATATATACTCGTAAACTCCATCTACAATCAAGTTATAGGATAGTCAGTATATATAAGGTTATGCCAATCCAATTCAATATAATATGCAGATAAACATGAATGCACAAAGACGCATAGAGATACTTGAAGATATAATATAGGTAGTCAGCGACTGTTTTCCATGGGCAGAATCGATATGAATGGAGAGTTTGATAGAGGGGTACTGTGTGAAGCACTTGAACATTCAAATGACAACCTGGATCACGGAGAGGGGAAACAGGAAGCGGGATACTGGAATGGGGAATGAGGGGTAGAAAATGGGGGAAATGTTGAAAGTGGTGTGGTCATCGTTTCACTTGTGAAATTTGTGTGGTAAATAAAATACCGGTGGTAATGTGATGGCAATGAGATGGGATAGGTACCGGTATTATTGGAGCGGGGATATGTTTTCGGATCCGAAAAGGTAGGCTCTTGGTGGTGCATGGCTGAAGTTTGAAGAGAAGACCACCTGGAAAAGACGGGAAAATTCGACGCTCCTTGTGTGACTCGAGACGGGGAGAGCGAAGCCAGATCCAAATTCGATAGAAGCATCGTCGAAGAGCCGTCACGAGCCCGTTTATATAATGGTTTTGATGCAGTGCGTTGTCTTATACTTGAGTATACTATGGTAATTGAGTTGTGATATGGTAATCTATCCGTTCCCTGTATTCGACGACTTCTGCTACATACATGTAGATGTGCATGCATTTCTCATTTTCCATATGGTGTGATGGGGCTTGTTTGGAGATGCCACGGATGGCATTGGATACCATGTATGGGATTGGAAGTTTATCATTTTGCATCGTACACAGGATCTGATGCCCAGACATATGAAAACCGGGATTTGAAGGGGCATTGGTACATTTTCATGTCGGTATTGCATGGTTCTATTTAATAGGTGAATTAATGAGCCACATTGTCGGGCCCAGTCAATTTGTTTCTTTCGCCAACTATGGGGTATGTTTTAGTCAAAGGAAGAAGACAAAATTTGAGGGATAAAAAGTCAAGTGGGAGGAGGGAATCGTATGATGTAACACAATGAAATGCGCATGAAAAGACTTACCATCTAAAGCCACCAAGAACCTGCTGACACAATTGTATGCTGCGATCTATATTTCGCGGTTAGCTTTTCAAGATGCACATGATCCCCGCTCCTGACCACTTTCAACTTCCACTCGATTCGAGTCCCATATCCCCAATACTCTGAAAGAAAGAGCCAACTCACCGTAGCCGTCAACTCCACAATCTCCTTCTCATCAAACCACTCTTTCAACCCCTCAAAAACCTCTTCCGGCACTCTTACATTCCTAGTCATCTCATCCGTATACCTCACCACCGCCCACTGTTTCCCACTCAATCCCTCTGCATCCCCATTCCCTTCTCGCTTCCCTTCCCTCTCACATCTCTCCCTCTTCAGCACCTCCATTCCCTCATCACTAACCCCCCCTTTCTTCGCCAATGGCGCATGATGCCCCCACTCATACCAAGCCTTGTTACAAATCGCTACTCTACAAATCGCTATCTCCCTAACATCATCCGCCAGCCCCGTTTGTGTTCTTATAGCCCCGAGAAATGAATTCCAGCCATCTGCTACAGGGGGACTGTGCAGTAAAGTTAAGTCTAGAGGTTGAAGGGGACGAGGTGCGCGGCGGGCTTCAACACGTTCGATGATTGCGCGATCGGAAGGAGAGGAGAAGGTTGGGGACGAGAGGTCGGCGTAGGGAAGACGCATTTTGGAGTGGGTGCTTTGATGGATGAGGTGGATTTGTGTTTGTGTGGGGATTCGATGGTGATGAAGGAGATTTTGCTTGGTAGTTTGAGAGAAAGAGAGTACCGGTAGAGATATAAGATTGATGGTACGATACTTCATACCATTAGACCAAAACTCGTAGAAATATTTCAAAGTAACTACACGCGACTACAAACCCAACATGTACTGTACATCGGTATACACCACAACTACTGGTACCCCTCATAGATGTGGGGTTGGAAGCTGGACGACGTGGGAGAATACTTTGCCGGGAATTGGAAGAAGGTAAATATAAATGGGATCAGTACAACCCCCTTCATATTTTCAATTGAGAATGGTAAAGATTAAAGTAGAATTGCCATTTTAATGACTAGGATGAGTGTACCAGCTCCATGACATTGGTAGGCATCTTGTAGACCCCTAGATCTTCGCCGTGATCGAAATAGTTCATATGCTCAGGGTTTGTGCAATGTAGTATCCTCAGTGGATTTTAATATTCGTGAAACATTTATTGGGTGGTTACAAGTTATCAATTAGGTTAGCCTTTCGTAGCGCCTTAATTGCTGGAACTCGCCCCAAATATTCAGGTGTTATATCAAAAAGTAAACCATCTCAAGAAGACATATCTCAACTTTGGTAAACAGTTAAATTAGGGTGCACATATAAGATCCTCTGTTTCAAAATCAAAACCCCAAGATCATATGATTGCTACTAACAATAGAAACTACTAGCATACACGGCCAATTTTGACCCTCCTCCACCTCTGCCTCTACTTCTAATGCATCATCGGAAACGCCGAAATTTGTAGCATAACAACAATACACATATTTTTAGCCATGAACTGTTCAGTCCATAGCTTCCATGCCCAGTCCATCCCCGAAGGCCATCATCATTATCACCCATTCATATATTCACAGTTTTGCGCAGAAGAGAAGTGTGCGTTCAGGTTGTCTCGAGGCTCTCTCTGTCGGACGTAATCCGTTTAGCAGGAAACATCCAGAGATGCCTTAGAGTTCATGAGAAGAGCAACAATCAATCCGTAAAGACCTGTTAATTATGTAAGTCACCATTCATACCGGAAAAATAACATCGAATCTTACCCAAAACTTCGGCAAAAATCAAAATAAGAATCATTCCGACGAAGAGACGTGGTTGTTGTGCTGTTCCTCTCACACCTGCATCACCAACAATTCCAATAGCGAAACCAGCAGCCAAACCAGCAAGACCGACACTGAGACCAGCACCAAGTTGAATGAACCCGGTATATAATGCGAGGTTTTGTCTAAGTCCATCGGAAATCAAGACTGATACGACGAGACCGTAAATACCAATAATACCGGCCATAATGACAGGAACAATGTCTGTATAACACATTAGTAGTGCTTTTGAATATCGGATTAATATGGCTCACTCTTGACAATCAAATCAGGTCTGAGAACACCCATTGCGCAAATACCAACACCAGACTTGGCAGTTCCATATGCGGCACCGAAACAAGTGAAAACGATGGCAGATGTGCAGCCCATGGCACCGAAGAATGGCTATACATTGATTAGTATGATGCTTTGATGTGAATAGATTGAAGTCGTTGGGGTATTGAATCAACGGTTGGTCGGACAGGACGTCGAAGGTGGCACTCGGGGAAAACTAACCGCATATACGGGACTATCATTATTCCTGTCAGTACTTGAATCAAAGCATAGAAATGGACATGATAATATATAACAAAACCCGAGCTCATGGAGATTCTTGTCTCCAAAGCAAGGTAGGTAGGTAGGAGCGGAAGGCGTCAAGGGGATAGTTGTTAACATACCAGAGATCAGTCATTTTGGCGGTATTGAATAAGGTATTTCTTAAAGTGTGAAGATATATGAGGCTCAAGGGAGCTATTAGAAGGACGATTGGAGAGTTTGGTTGATGAAAAGTTGAGTTTGTAGTGCTGATGGATTATAATCAGTGGTTCAAGGTGGTTTGGACGAGTTGTTCCTTGATGAGGCTTCTCTGGCAAGCTTACTCTGAGTAGCTTTTGGACCAATCAAATTATGGATTAGCGCGCAACGCTTAAGCGAGGCTTTTCTGGCCGATAAAGATTTATCTCCATAAGAAAAAAATATTTTTACTTCAAATTCAATATCTACTATTTTTGCAATTCATCCCACAGGGCGAGCCAACGCAAGGAACCCTGAAAGAGTTTATTTTCGCAGTACATCCTTTACAAAGCGTATGTACTTAGTCCTGTCCAATTCCCCTGGTCGCAAAGTCACAAAATCTTTAATGAGATCAAGTTCTAACGTTCATTCTCACAGTTAACTTAATTCCAACCCAAATTTAAAATGGCTGAGGAACAAAATGAATCCGCCGCTTGGCCCGTGGGTAAGGAACTTCTCATGCTCCTGCGATCTGATCTTTACTAATATATTACTTCACAGCCGACGCCGCTCTCTCCCAAGAGATCCTCGACCTCGTTCAACAAGCTCAACATTACCGTCAATTGAAGAAGGGAGCCAACGAGACCACCAAGACTCTTAACCGTGGAATCAGCGAGATTGTTATCCTTGCCGCCGATACCGCCCCATTGGCCATTCTCCTCCATCTTCCTCTTCTCTGCGAAGACAAGAACACCCCTTACGTTTACGTACCATCCAAGACTGCTTTGGGACGCGCCTGCGGTGTTAGCAGAGCTGTTATCGCTGCCAGTATTACTACCAACGAGGCATCCGACTTGATGAGCCAAATCAGAAGCTTGAAGGATAAGGTCGAGAGACTCCAGATCTAAGATCTGAACTAGATGGGACACATTGGCAGGAGCTACACCTTAACTGTGTGTTGGCGATCGGCAATTTAGAAAGGAAATGATCTACCCGTAAAGGATAGGAAAAAAAAACAGGCTTGTATGCTTAATTACAGGCTCTGAATACAAATCCATACTAAGAAGCTGATTTATATGGTGTGAAAATTTGACTTTCTTGGCCCCTTGTTCCCACGCATATCATGAATATGTCGAATGTTATTTGGAACTTCGAATCTTCCCTAAAATCATCCACTCACGACGTTGTTCTCATACCCATTGTGAGAGCATCGAATGTACTTTTGGGCCCTGAGTCCTGTCAACTTTACTACCCGCTCCGCAAATGATCCTCCGAAATCTTTAACTCCATACAGTGACGAGACATAATCAAAATGTACATCAAGACGAACGACATAGCACGCCGAGGTTTCATACCGAACTGCTTCCCATCTACACATATACTCCTTCATTGACCAGAATATCTTCGTTATACAAATGCATCTCGAACATTGAGAACCAAACTTAGGCACTCTCAAGATTTTCGGATAACTACCTCCTTATGATGCAAATGCGAGTTGAACACTCAATTACATCACATCGCATCTTGTTTTAGAAGTCGAAGTTAATTTCATGGTCTAGAATGGATTGAGAAATTTGCGGATCTACATAGGCTTTCTTTCTATTTGATTTGTTTGGATTCGGAGTGCGTACTGCCGGTATCATTGTACTTGCAATTTTGAAGTTGTTGGTATTGTAAGATTATGTCTTGTAAATCATATACGAGTATACGAGTTATCTATACCCGAGTTTCCATTCCGAGTCTCTTTGATTTCGCTATCGTGTAGGGAATGTATGGATGAAACGTAAACGGTATTCAAGAGTGATGGGGGCTTTCTAATTTTAACTCTAAATCTACTATTCTAAATGACCTAGTACAACCCTCTCTACCTATATGAATAAAACAGCTTGACGCTCTTCCTTTAACCATAACCAAATACCACACAATAATATACAATGAACGCCCTCCTTTCCCTTTCCCTCTTACAACTTACAACTTACTCCTAAACTTCTCCGTTTCATCCCTCTTAACGATATTATCATTATCCGCATACGGATCCACCGTCAAGCCATTAAGAGGATTCAACTGACTAGCCCTATAAAACATATCCTCGTAAACCTTCCCATCTTTCCTACCCAGCGAAGAATCAAGTTGCCAATCTGGGAATGCCCACGCATCCACTAGACTTAATGCATGTGGTCTAATCTCCCCTAGTAACTTCATCACACTCTTTGTTCTAGCCAACTGGATTTGACGCACAGTGACCGCAGACGAGGAGTAGAATTCCGAAGCTTCTTTCTCCAGCGTGTTGAGAGCGTGCAGACGGTAGAGTTTATGCAGGACATGGATAGTTTCGGCGTCGAGTTCGTGGCGGAGCGAGTCGCTTTGGAGGGCATCGTAGAAGTTTTTTACGACGAGGTATTGAGAGTGTGCAGTGCTCAGACGCCAGAAATCGACAAGAAGTGAGTTCCATGAGCCCTTTTCGGCATCGCGATGTTTGAGGGCTTCGAAGGTTAGGAAGGATGTTCTCCATGCGAAGGCGGCGACGATATCACTATCGGAGCCGAGAACATCATGAGCGGCACCCATGTCCTGCTTTTGGAGGAATGTGGTGAAGATTCTCGTGGTGTCGTTGTTGGGAGCATTTCCCTTCAACACGGCTCGAGCAGATTTGAGAAGGTATCGAGCTACTTGCTGCGTGAGCATGTAGTTATCTCCTTCCCATGTTGTGGTGGGAAGGTAATCAGCGTACCAACTACCGATACCACTGAAACTTGAGTATCCGTGGCCACCACATGCTCTTCGACAGACTTCGAGTCCCTCGGCGGCAGTTGTGCTTCCAAGCGCTTTGAGACCGCATGATGTAGCATGTAGATCGGCCACTAAATCACTTCCAGAGTTGAGTTCCTCGGGACCAGGCGCCCGGCTGCTATCTGAAGCATCTACTGCGTTTTGTTGCATCCTCTTCTGATTATCTTGGTACAACCCCATCATCGCTTTTCCTGTGAAGTGCAAAGCAAATGTCGCGGCAAGCAATGGCAATAATCGATATTGTACCATAGTGTAGTTGATAACCTGGTTCTCCCCGGATGCATCAGCTCCAGCGTCACGATCTTGAAATTGACGTCTGACAGAAGCATATCTTGTTGCGATAGTCACACCCCGAGCCAAGACGCCACCGGATTGGAGAACGATGGTTGACCGAACCCAGGTCAAAGTACCATAAATTAACGATGGTGATGATGGCTTGACGTAATTGTTGGTGTCAGGGTCAACGCTGGAGAACTTGGCCAGCATATTGACATGTGGAATCTTGAAATGGTTCAACAATAGGAACCCGTTATCCATTGTATTGTAGCCAAATTTTGGTCCAATATCCCCAACATGAACACCCTCCAATGGCTCATGAGTATCCATATCTCTAATCTGACACACGAAAGGATGTGGACCATATGGCTTGCCCGCAATAATCAGTTGGGCCATAACTACAGCATGATTTGCAGTCCTTCCCAAAGATCCAATCCACCATTTTGATGCAGTGAGATGTGGCGAGTGAAGGGTGAATGTCTTATCTTCAGGATTCCATGTAGCAGTCGTCTCTAAACCTCGCACATTCGATCCGTGTCCCAATTCTGTTT